TAGAAAGCAGTATGATAACGTTGACAGTCTAAATATTCGTTGTCTTAGTTGGTGATCAGCGCGCGCTTTTTAAACGGGCAGTTCAGACCTAACGTGATTTGCATTTGTCAAACTTTTGCTGCGTTCTTACGCAATTAAAGTACCATTTCTGATCAAAAGAATCTATCCTGAGCTATACGTTCGTTAGATTACCATTTTTGAGCTCCACCCAACTTAGTAGATGACTGTGGTTTTGCCTCAGCTTACTATTCGGCTTTTTCCAGTTTTTCACATAAAGACTAGTTCAGTTTATCTCATCCGTTTTTATCCACTTTTGTCCGTTTTCAGCGTGCTTTTTAGTGTATTTTTTACGGTCTTAGGCTTTTGCTAGCATCTATAACACAGTTTACGTCAATATAGCCATGAAAAATTCATGCAAACGACCTAGATACCGTTTTGATGTTACATCTGGCAGGCACTGCGACAAATGCAAAGGTTGGTTCCACAGCAACTGCTTACAACAGACTCAGAAAGTTGGATCATAAGTGGGAATGTGTTACATACAGCACGGTTGCTGTAGTCTTGCTGAGTAACATCATTGTCCTCTTAACAGGTCTGCAGAGTAAGTTGTCAGCAAACTTGGAAAAAGACAGTCATAAAACGGGTAGACAAACAGGGGCGCGCATAGAAAACAATAATAGGGATGTCGACAGGTCTACCATTGATGGAGCATGCATAAGCACTATTGATGACATGTTGAAACTCAGCACCATTATTACGTCGCGGTAATCGACTACCTCAGTAAACTCGGGTCTCCCAGCTCAGGGTCCTTGAATGCAACAGTGGCTCCCAAAAACTCTGTAGTTGATTGGACCCACGTTAACAGAGCTATAAAGAACCAGGCGTCACCGTCTAAGCTGAATATCCCAAGTGTTGTACAGAAATCAACTGGTGATCTGGTCGCACAGTCTACCCACAAAAATGTCCGTCCGGTCATCAAAGAGCCTGAGATTCAGAGACGTACTTCGACCTCCAAACAACAAGTTTCTGTACTTGGATACACCGGAAAACCTGGGAAAACAATAACAGTTCGTGATGACTCATAATCATGTACCTCTTAGACAACCCTGACCTTCCTCTCAGTTTGCAGGACAAAAATGACAGGATGCTCTGGGGTGAATTTAACAAGAAGCTTGAACTTCCTAGGATACAGCCTCTGATGGTCACACGGGGATAGTAATCTAAGCATCAAAATCACCCAAGGCTACTTCGTGTAACACTTAAGAATGCTACCGACGTAGAGGATGTCCTGCTAGCTAGTCACTTACTGAAATCCGATGGGTACGTAAGAATACTGCCCAACATACCGTATTCTAAGCGCAATCTCATCCGGAACACCCCTAAAGAATCTCGTGAGAAGATTTTCCGCGGAAGAAATATAATTATGCAAGGTGTTCCGGAAAACACGAACCCTAGTCAAGCAAACTCTGATATTAGGGAATGAAAATTCATCAAGCAGTCCTTCAGGATCAAAAGCATACTGACTCAACATGTGACGAGACTAGCCAAGAAGGACGGTGATTCTAGACCCCAGCTAATGAGGATAGCTAACCCATCCTCTCACATGGCGGCTGCAACTCTGGAAGCGTTTCGTGCCAACAGACGTCGGTTGCTAACTGAAATCCACAAGCACCCGGACAGGCCATATGAAGCCAGGACTAAGTACAAAGGCAAGTTGGAGCTGACCATTCCATTTCTGAACTGTCTCGATGATAAAAAAAAGTGTAAAGTACAGGGCCTACCAACACGACAAACCTTATATAGGTGGGCTACCTGACCATTCACATAAGGCTTGTACAGACAAACAGGAAGGAGAAGCTCACACGTTTCAACTTGAAAGCATAAACTGCTTATACATGAACGCCGCGAGTCTACCAAATAAAATGGGTGAGCTACGTGAACTTAGTAATGCTCAGTTCTCGGACCAGGAGCTAGTAATACATGGGATGTCTTTGTTACGCAACGACAGAAAAGCAGGAATTGGGGGTAGAGTAGCCGTATACATACGATCTTGCTTGGAGGTACACCAAGTTCACAACCATGAGTTTAACAATCTTGATGAATTTGTATGGTGCTCTGTAGGATTGTCTACTACTTCGAGGTGCCTAGTCGGAGTCATATATAGGAAGCCCACTGCTGACATCGAGTATGACAGTCGTATGCTGGAAGGACTATCCCTCTCTACGCGTCTCAGTTTCACTCATATCCTGATTCTGGGGGACTTCAATCTCCCTAGAGTCAAGTTCGCGGAACATACGTATATTGGAGGTGAAAACTCGACTGAAGCTCGGTTCTTCAACCTCATTGAGAATTTGGGATTATACGAAAATGTGAAGTCGGCAACTCGTTGGAGAAAGTCAGACACCATCGCGCTTAAACTGTGTATTTACAAACGAAGAGTTCCTGGTTGACAGCCTCTCAATCCTGGTTCCCCTGGCGGCAAACGATCACGCCGTTATAGTTTTCAGTTTTGTCAGCAAAACTGAGCTAAGATATCCCACCAACAACAGGCGCTGGAATTTTGAAAGGTTGAATGTGTCAGCTTTACAGGACCATCTGCAACAGGTGAATTGGGATGTTCACCCTCAAATAGATGTGAATACCCACTGGGACTTCTTACTTCACACGCTCATATGTTCTACAAATCATTCAGTTTCTCAAACGGTTTTCAAAAGCTACAAGCAACCTACAATCATCTAGAACCGCACTCTTCGCCTGCTAAGCCGCAAAAGGCACTTTTGGCACAGGGTACAAACGAACTGACAACAACGGAGCGTACAGGCATTACAAATACATAAGGAACATATGCACGAATGCTTTAAGAGAAAACAAGCTTCGGTACCAGATAAAGCTTGTGGAAAAATTTGTCTCTAATTCGAAGGGCTTATTCCGTTATGCAGCCTCCCTTCATTAAGCCAAAACTGGGGTTTCCCAACTTCCATGTCTTAACGACCCGACCAACAACGACGACGATGCCATTAACCATTAACCATTCGGCTGAACAGTACTCTCGGACATTTCAACCGACCCACATCAACTATACTGATGAAAGCTTCATTTGCAACTCCGAAAGACTTTCCGAAGCGAACCTGAGAGCTGACTTGGTGTTCTGGAAACTGTAGCACATGGGAATAGACACTTCTCCTGGCCCGGATATGGTCCATTCTGCCATAGTGAAGGAAACAGCCCCAATCTTGGCAACGCCGCTTAGCGTGATGTTCTCACACTCGCTAAGTTGAGGAAAACTACCGGAAGATTTGAAGATGGCTCACATCACATCAATTTTCAAAAAAGGTCGACGTAGTGAACCTTCAAGTTACCAACCGGGGGCTCTTTTCTCTATACCTTCAAAAATCATGATATGTGATGATATACAGGACTATTTACTGTCCTTAAACTTCTTCTCACCCCAACAGCATGGTTTCAGGAGGAGTCATTCTTGTATAACCAACATGCTCACGTTGGTGGATAGATGGACAAGCATCCTTGATCACAAGGGGAAGGTTGATATCATCTACCTACATTTCTCAAAAGCTTTTGATAGGGTTAACCATACATGTCATATCAATAAGCTTAGACGATTGGGAATCAGACCACCTCTAATCGATTGGCTCATTTCATATTTGAAAAATCGACATTTTAAGGTCACGGTTAATTTCACCTCGTCCAGGCTGTGGAATGTCCTAGTGGGGTCCCCCAGGGCTCAGTACTGGAACCTCTTTTCTTGTTGATCTACATAAATGATTTTCCTGACCAGGTAACGTCAGACTTATTACTTTTTGCCGATGACGTGAAAGTTTGGAGAAAGTTATGCAACGAAGACGATATACATGCACTTTAGGAGGATCTAACTCGACTACAAAGTTGGGCAGACGATTACGGACTTGCCTTTAACACTTCAAAGTGTAAAGTAGTCCGTCTGCGACATGTCGCAGACTACAGTTACAACTTAAGAAATTACTCTCTAGTAGTATCCTAAGTCAAAAAATATTTACGAGTCCTGGTGCCCTACGATTTAAAGTTTTACGCTAACTGTGACAAAAACGCCTTTCGAGCAAACCCTGTGCTGGTAACATTGAAGCGCATTTTTGGCCAGTTTGAGGGAAGAACTTTCCATGTAGTCTTCAACAGTTTTATCCGTCCCCATTTAGAGTACGGAAACATGGTATTTTCTCCCTCACTCCGAAAGGATAAGAACACTGGAGCGTATCCAACGGCGGGCCACGAAATCATTTCGAAGACTCAAATTCAAACCTCATGAAGAGCGCCTCCATTCACTTAACCTTAACCCATTTTAGTATAGGCATCTTAGAGATGACCTTCTAATGGCTTACAGTATCCTTAAGACTTCTGGACATCCTCTCAAACACCTACTTAAGTTTAGTCCCAATACCAACCTAAGGGGTAACACCCAGAAATTGGAGATACAACATGGCAGAACGGACTGTAGACATAACTTCTACTCCTTAAGAGTTGTCAAATGCTAGAATTCGCTGCCGATCGGGCTAGTCCAAGAGAACTCCTAGGAGTCCTTTTAAGGGGATAATATTATACTATGATTTACCAAATTCTTTTTCCTCTTTTATCGTTAACATACCTAGGTTGCTGCCTGGAGTTATTCGTGATTACCTGCTACTAGACGCGGAAGGCTGTTAAGCGAAAACTTCTTTTACTCCGTCCACAACCATTTGAACCAATGTACCAAATCTCCCGATTTTGGGAAGATGGAACGTAAAGTGTAGGGTAAATGTGACAGAACGACCTAAAACGTCAAGTTCTAGAGGAATCTGCAAAATCTTTCGAAAACTTCGGGTTGTTTTCTTCAATATCTTTCCAAAAAATGGGGAAAATGTGAATTTTTATTACTTAAAGAAAAAACACGGAATTTATTTATATTTTTGTTTAAGTTATCCATTGTTATTTATTTCTGTAAAGCCACTTTACAAACTATGCGTTTCAAGATGCATCTGAGGATTTTACTTCCTTATGTTGTTTTCTTGTCGTTTATATGTCCTTTATCAAATGGTCAGTATATGTCAATTAGTATAATGCAATTGTTCTAAAGGTTTTATTCCTCAGATCACTGATAGAATCGAAACAGCAGTTGTACAAGAAAAAGGTACTGCTTATCTTAACTGCACAGCAGTCATAGAGGAACAACAGGAGTCTGTAAGTAAACATACGCCTTTTTGATATTTTGTTAAACGTATCACCATTCAGTTGCGGTTTGACTGTAGGGTATATTTATTAAATTTTAAGACACAATTTGCAAGTTTTACGTGTTTACATATATAGACACATACTAAATAATAAGTACTACTATATGCTTTTGATAGCTGTCAGTTTTTATATAAATATTGATCAGCTCATTTGAACTCTGATTGCACCATAATATCTCTCAAATTGTTTCATTTATTTTTCTGGTAAGATTTTCATTTCTTCTTCCCGATAGATTTTTATGCGAAACTTCATGGACTAATATTAATGAAAATCCTTTATTTTATTATTGACATTGCTGACGTTAAAATGGGATGTTATGCGGGTTATTTCCGTACAACTTGGAATATATTTAGCAAATATGCTGTGTTTGCCTTAGTCTCGTAACTGCACTTTTCCGAATCGTGACACCTCATGATGAAAGTCGAGAGTCTTCGGAAGTCACGAGACTATTGACCTTTTTAACAATCAAAGCAACAACTTATATAGGTATATGAGATGTTCGGACAGTGTGAAAGACCCGATGGACTAATCAAATAGCTATTGGAAATCAGAAGACAACTTGACGGTTTTCAGAATTAGTCAAACTTATTAGACCAAAGCTGAACAGAAAAGTATAGATTGTAGAGAGATGCTGCCATACTGTGGTCAAGAAGACGAAAATGCTCCACACACTGAGGAAGTTGCTTTGATGCTTTACCAAGAAGCACGTAGAGCAGTTATAGAGTGGGAATCTCATGGATCGTTGATCATCAAAGCATCCTTAGAAACAAAGAGGAAGGAAATCACAATGAATGTTATCGAATGTTATGCACCAACCGATGATAGAAAGGACGACAATGAAGATCAGTTTTATGAGAGACTGCAACTGATCATAGCGAAGTGCCCAGGAATGGATTTGGCAATCCTGATGGGAGATCTAAACATCAAAGTCTGAATGTACAAAGATGGGTCTGAAAATATCATGGGACGAAATGGACAGGGGAGTGGGAGGTTCTAGGTTGCAACATGCATCATCATAAAGAATGGATCTCTATGGACAGAATTTAAGAAACGAAGAACAAGAAGGCAGCAATTAACAGCATTCGAACAAGAACGGAGGAAGTTAAGACAAGCTGAATACACAAAAGCAAACAAGTAAGTGAGGAGGAGTATTAGAACTGGTAGGTAGAAATGCATGGAAGACCTAACAACGACAGTGGAAAAGCTGCAACAGAAAGAAATAGCAGACAGCTATATGATTTAACGGAGAAACTAGTAAGGAAATATGGTAGACCAGAGAGACGAGTCAAGGACAAAGAAACAAACCAACCACCGAGATTCAAGGGCAGAGGAACAAATGGGTGGAATACTTTGGAGAACTCTTGATTAGACTAGCTTCATTGAACCCACTAGACATCGAAGCAGCACTTACAGATCTTCCTATAGATGTCACTACACCAACTATCGAAGAAATCAGGGTGACTGGTCATCGGACAAATAAAGGTTGGGAAAGCAGCAGGATTTGATAACATACCAGCTGAAACACTGAAGTCGGACATCGGAGTAACTGCGAGCATGCCCCATGTTTTATTCAAGAAGATCTGGAAGGAAGAACAAGTGCCGACAGACAGGAAATTAGGATACCTCATCAAGATACCAAATAAAAGAGATCTGGGCAAGTGTCAGACTTACAGAGGCATCACACTACTCTCAGTATCACGAATGGTTTTCAGCGGAGTGTTACTGAACCGGATGAAATATTCGGTAGACGCACAACTTTGAGGTCGCTAGGCTGGATTTCGTAAGGATTGGTCGTTCACAGACCAAATCGCGACATTACGGATCACCGTTGAACAATCAGTTGAATGTAAATCGTCACTCTACATCTACTTCCTTGATCATGAGAGCACGGTTGGCAGCCTGGATATGATGATCTTTTGGAATCTTCTTCAACACTATGAACTGAGTAACTGAAAAGGTCGTCAACATCATTCGGAATTCATACGACGGAGTACACTACAGATTCGTGCATGGAAGATAGCATGCAGATGCATTCCAAGTGGGGATCAGTGTCAGACAAGGCTGCTCACTCTCACTATTTCTCTTTATGCTATGACGGGATGAAAAATCAAAATAGGATTCTTTTACTCATTATGATTTTTGTTCAGTATTACTTCCGTTTTTTCATTGTGGTGATTACTCAGTGTAGTATTTGTTTTGTTTTCCACTGTGATATTTTATTCTGTATAACATACGATATTCTTGTATTCAATTAACATGGACTATGCTCAGCATGATATGTAGCATGTGATTTTTTATAACTGTAAGTATTTTTCATATATGTGATTTCATTCTAATTATTAGTCGAAATGTGTGTACAATCAATGTATAAATGAGTATATTTTCGACTAGGGTCGTCGTCGCGTTATGGAGTTAATAATCTTCACTTGTACTTGTGTTCTTACTTTTGCGTCGTGAGAATTGCAGTAGTTCCTTGATTTTACAAGTATAAGTAATAAGTGATTCAAACATAAAAATCAGCGACCAGATATAACAATTGGTAACCCAGTCATAACAGTCGACCACTAGTCATAACACTTTCTTCTGGTGGTTGAATTGATTTTGAGGACTTCCACATCTAAGGGAAAGCTGGATACCACCATCATCAGCTTACTGTGAGAGAGAGAGTAAATCAGTTTTTATCTGTAGAGGAAATTAGGAAAAGACGTTGGTGTTGGTAGGTCGGACATACATTATGGAAACCAACAAAATGCATCATGAGGCAAGCTCTAACTTATTTATTTATTGTAACCTATGTTTATAAGATATTTTCACAAGTGAGACTTAAGACATATTAGTTTAGATACGAAACATTATAACTAAATTAACCCTTGTCTTAATTTTGATGAGTATTCAACAAATATGATCTTAATAACAAATTCACGTTATTTTTGCTTACGGGTTAGTGAGTCACATTTATTTTAAAAGTATGAAAACAATTGAACTCTTGTCTCTTCTGTCATATTTGTAGCAAATTAGTTGGTATCGTACTGTAGATAAACAACAAATTCATCCGGTAGTACACTTAAAGATCCTGTTCGTCGTGGTCCTCATGGTGTCAGCAAATACGCAGTTAGGTTTCTTCCTGGAAGACCCAACTATGCACCTAATATGGCTGGTGTCGACGTAAACAAACTACGTACCTACCAACTGATTGTTCGATTTGTAGATATTAATGACGCAGATACACAATTCAGGTGTGTTATTGAATTGAGTAAGTTTAGGAAAATATTACTATTTTAGGACTTAAAAATAATTTTTCAAAAATATTTCACTACGTTGGGATCGTTTTTAATTTAAGTAGCTGAAATTTTTATAAACTGAAATTTCTTTTCGATTCCTTGATTTGCACTGAAAGTTATGAGGCTGGTAATATGCTTATTGTTTGTTTTCTTATTTACATCACCATAGCGGTTAATGGTATTAATGTTTCTTCCAACCTGTAATACTATATGTTGGAAGTTTCAACTAAATACTTACCATGTTTTTTCAATAACTGTCTTTGTTTTGTATTGCAACTAATTTCCTTTCTTATTTACTCTAGACAATCTTCGAATTACTGAATTAACTTTATCAGTTCATCTTTATCATTTTATCTTTTACTTAAACCAAGTTTGTCTGGTGAAAATGAGTCCTGAAATCAAATTTAGGGGTGAATGACATTTCCTTTGATTCACTATCTTACTCTCATTTTGAAGGTTCACTCATAGTTCTTGTGTCTTCCCGCATCTATCTAACAGAAAGGAATAATACCCTTACAGGATATAATATTGTCTACTGAAATTTCGAACCACCTTGATATTTACAGATTCCTAACGATGTACTCTTGAGAACTAATAAAACCATTTTCAGTCATAGCGTAACTTGTTTTTATGTTCATACTTTTTATGCCCAAGAACGTTTTATACCATAGTTAAAAATACTATAAAGACCAGCTTAACCGTGAAGATGATGAGCCTTTGGACATTTATTTATCACACATAAAGCTTCTATAATTCATCTTTATAAACAGTCACTGATAATTCCAGATTACTAAATAATCATTTGGATCTATTCTAGTACTCTTTCTAATTATAAACTGAATAGCTCATTAATTTCTCTTCTCAATAATATTTAATCTCACAGTTTCATCGAATTTGTTTATCATTGAAATAGTTTTCAAAATTTGTTTGACATTCGATTTTTTCGATTTATTGATATCCAGGAACTACGCCAGTTGATCAGTGGCCTGTAGCATATGGGAATATTATCGTGAAACGCGCTCCTGAAATTCTCCCGGGGTTGACATCTAAAATTGTGACGGAAGGAGACTCTTTAACGTTAGTTTGCCGTGCACAAGGCTCGCCACCACCAATGATAAGTTGGACTAGAGCTAATGGAAGGCCTCTATCACTTCCAGGTTCACCACAAAGAATTTATGTACGTTTTACTGAAATCTTCCTTATATTTTTCTAAAAATGGCTGAACTAAAGTTATTCTCAAGAAAAGTTATTAAGCTCATAATTTTATCCATGTTACATATCAGTTGTTAAGATTGGTAAAATTTCAACTTATTTAGGTTTTATTGAAATCAATTGCCTAGATTACATTAACATTCGGTGTTACTAATAATTTTTTTTAAGAATTCAACACTGCATATTCCCCGCGTTGATCGTTATGATCGTGGTGTTTATCGATGTTATGCAGTTAACAACGTAGCTGGGTCGGCTGAATATGATGTAATGGTGGAAGTTAATTATGCACCACATGTTCGTGAGGCTCGGTTCAAGGGAGCTTATGGACAGGTAAATATTACCATTACTCTTAAAGATTTGATATTGAAAATAATTTACTCTTGATAAATAAACAGATTTTGCTCTATAAAAACACTTTGAATTTACTGAAGAATTATCGTTTATTGGTCACTGATGGACTTCTTATCAGATATTTTGTTACATAATGACAAAAGCCTCCTATTGATACTTATGTGTTAGTTAAAGCTAAACTAAAAGAAACTTGGACTGAATGGTTAAAACCTCTTAAGGTTCCCTGTGATGGTTTAGTTTTGGATGCAGAAAGGCATTCGCAATTAGTGTTTATTGCTTATTTAATGGTTCTTTCAATGAATTAAGTTATATTAAGCTGACCATTTTGTATTCTGAAAATATAACAGACATATTTTGCTGTCTTAAAAGCCTCTTCAACAATTTTTATGACTATGATTTTGAGCAGTAACTAGGTTACCTAGCTATTGTGGATTGATCTTTTCGTGTTTCACCTGTGATTAGTCGAATTCGTATGGTACACATAACCACTTGTCAAATCATTTACTGTGGTTTCATCCTATTTATATTGAAACGAAAACCACTGTATCAATCTTCGTATAATTCGTCTTGAAAAATAGGTATTGTTTCATCACCATTAAGTGACTTCGTTTTTATTTTTTTTATATCTACAAAATTCTTATTTAGGCACCAGATGGGAATTATGACATGACATTGGAATGCATTGTCAATGGATATCCTGATCCTGATTTATTATGGTATACTGGAATTTATGATCCGATAACTAATAATAAACCCCTATTTGATAATAATCGTTATGAACTTGAAAAAGCTCAAAGTTATGGTTCAGCTGGAACAAATGTAAGCTTTGTATTCGCTTTCGTGTTGTTAATTCAAATGGATACTTTTTAATATATTGTTCTTGTTTACCAAATGTTTGTCTTATTGAGATCACAACTTGATCTAGGTTAAACAACCACTAAAAAATCTAGAAGCACTAGACTGCTGTTTTGTTTTACTACAGATCTTCTCATCAGTGCCCATCGTCGACCCTGAAACCAAAGGTCGATCTTACTCACGAACCCTTAATTCCTAGACCACCGATCCGAGATCCAATTTTAATCTATCCACAATATTGGGCGACCATTTTTTTGTCTTCAGTGGGTACTTTCCTCATACCCAATACTGTAGAATGATATAACGTATGGTTTACAATATTTTCCTGTTACACGTATATTAGGATATTACGTTAATAAAACTAATCACGTTATATCAGAACTAGGATTCGCGACCTAAAATAGTGAACCAGATTAACACTAGAGAATATTCTTTCGATACAATTACAAGCAGTCAGACAAAGTGGGTCCAGTGTAGAAATCAATAATTGTTATAACTGCCCTCAAGCTATTATTTACAATATATTTTGTCTTCACCTTCATAATCATTAGGTAGACAATAATCTCCGATATTTCTAATCCATGATTCCCAGTATTTTTAATCAAACTGTAATTCATTAAACAAGCTCTTTTGGACACTTATGATTCCCAAACACTGTGATATAATGTCGTTTTATTTCCCCTACATGTTGAACAGCTATAAACTCAAGTACACTGTTTTGCTAAGTGATGTCTTCGAGAATTTCAAGCTTTGTGTTCAGTCAACTATTCGTTTGATCACATTTATCTTTGCAATTTTCCTATCTCAGTAACTTGTAAAAGTGATAGTATCATGAATCAAACTACTAAAGACTCTGAATTAAACTTCTAAACCCTTTATTATCTGCTTATTTTTCAATGTAATATTCAGACTGTTTTTTTAAGTGATTTATAGTAACGTATGACTGTTGGGCAAATGGTTGATTACTTTGTATATGTAATACGGATTACTGTAAAAGTAAATACATCCAAGTATTCAGCTAGTAGTAAATTATTTCATTAATAATAAATAGGCATTTGTTCCTGAATACCAGTTGTATTTCGTTTTATGACATCCAGCACAGATCAAAATAATTATAAAGAAGGTGTTGTTAACTGATAAATCAATATAATTCTGGAAAGGGAGTTTCTAGAACAACATACTTATGTAAGTTGTCGATATTTTCACTCCAATATTTTGTCACGAAGTTTGGTAGATATCTACTACTTAGTGAAGATTTTTATGTCATTAGAAAAAGATTTTGATTTTGTTGGATAAAACATCCAACACAAATAATAATTAGTTACAAGTTACTAGGATCTGCTTATAAAGTGCACAATATCGAATGTTTAAATTATCTTGCCTGTGTTTATTTCTTCTGTTCATGCTTTTATTCTTCAGTACACAGGTATACTAATGCAATATAGATGATTTCAGCTTCGATTCAGTAATTCCATAAATCTATTATCTCTAATTTAGTAATTGAATATTAACTGTGAAGGAAAATTTTCAAAAATATTCGATTACCCATTAGAATTACTTTTGTTAACGTTTTTTCTTTCTTTCAAATTTAGGTAACTGATGTTTTCTCAACTCTACTAATTCGTAATGTACGAGTTGGTGATTATGGAAATTATTCTTGTAGAGCGGAAAACAAATATGGATCAAATTTTGTTGTACTCAGTTTATTTTGTAAGTTCAGCATAGAAAATTACAGTTTAATTTCTGCTATTTAAAGATTTATTTTGAAAAGTTTTTTTTCTTATTTCTACTTTCCTGTTTAGAAAGTGATTCATAACTATAGGTTAGGACAGAATTGGATAACCATAAATCTATCTTAGCGGAACCAAATAGAAAAGAGTATCAATGGACATATTGATATTATACCTTGAACCAAACATTATTGTAAACTCATTTTAATATAATACCAGGTTAAAGTAGAATAGAGATTTGAATTAGTTATTTTATGAAGTATAATTAAGCCATGTTCAAGATTAAAATCAAATTAAGTGACTTCTCACTCTTAAGTATGTATATTAATGTTGATTCAACGAATAATAATTGAAGAAACATTAATGTTTCATTTTATTATTTTTTTTCACTTCAGACTATTATTCAAAGATTAATGTTTTGATCATGAAGCCTAAATATCTTTTGAGTCATTTGAGAACTTTACTTTAAAGGTCACTGAAGCATTCAACAAACAGGGGAAGATATCTAAATTGCACTGTACAAATTTATAGTTCATTTACAATCGATCATGGTGCAAATTTACAGCACAACCATTTAAACTGGAAATTTTTACAAATCAAGGTTTATTAAATGTAGCTTTACAATACTAATGTCTTGGTAGTTCATGTTTAAAGTTGTTGTTGTTAGACATACTAATTTCAATGGTTAAGACCATGAGTCAGTTGAAGCTAGACCACCATCAAAAACCTGGAAGCACTGGACGGCCGTTTCGTCCTGTTGTGGGACACCTCAGCAGTGCGCATCCACCAGGTTTTCCATGGTGGTCTAGCTTCGAATGACTCATGATCTTAACCATTGAAATTACTATAATATCGACAAAACCCATCTGATATTAGACATAATAGCCAATAATAAACAGAACGACCATACTATGAGAATGCACTGTATTTAATGAAGTACTCATTACTTCTTTCTTTGTCGAAATATATACATATATGTTTATGGAACATGTAAATACGAATTAATATTTTACTTAAGCTTTGTAGACCAATGAGTTCCAATTATTTTAGCTAAAAATGTTATTGTATTTGATTTTATTTATGTTCAGATCAATCAATCTGTCAAGGTGCTTACTGCCCAATGCTTGGGGCTGTTTCCTTGGAAGCTCGAGTTAATGAAGATGGAACTTCAGTAATCAACTAATTTAATAATAAGCTACGAAATTGTCACAGTGTTCTTTTTATCTCTATCTTGTTATTTTCGACTTTTTACTGTCATGTAGATACAATAACTATTTTAAAATAAACATTTTATAATTATACTACTTTTTTCAGCATAAGGTTGTGGAGATTGTTGAATTTCATTGAAATTATGAACTGATCAATTTTAGACCACCATTAGAGACCTTGAAGCACAAAACGGGCGCTTCTTCCTAGTATGGGACTCCTCAGCAGTGCGCATCTGTGATCACGCACGTGAGAATAGAACTCAGGACCTTCAGTCTCGCACGCGAATACTTAACCTTTAAACCATTTAACCGACATTCAACAGTGTTAATGCTTAACTCTAATCGATCCACAACATTGAGCGATATTTTCCATTGTCTATGGTAGGCAACTGTCCAATACCCAACACGATTGAAATCCACTGGTCACAGATTCTCACTAGAACAATTGAAGATGGTTGCACAATATCGCGGATTGTTTGAAGTTAGCCATTAACACCGTTGGATGACAGCTCAGTGATCTAGAAGTTAAGAGTTTGTGCGCGAGATCTAAAGTTCTGGGTTAGAATTCCGCGTGCAAAATCATGGATGAGCACTTCTGAGGAGTCCCATACTACGATGAAACAACCATCCAAAGCTTCCAGGTTTCCAGTAATGGTCTAACATTGATTGGTTCGTGATGTCAATGATATACTACTTTTAAGTGATAAGTATCATAGTTCCTGTAATAACATTTTCAATGTGATGTTCGCTTTATTTGCTGAATATAACATTTTCTGATTTTCCAGTTTATTAAGTTTTCCAATGTTAAAAGTTGATCGCCCCTTAGGTATTTTGTACAAACTTTTTATATCTTCTTTTAAACTATTTTTGTTCACACTATGATAACACATTAGAAATCAATTCAAGGAGTAGTTCTACAATACGAAAACGTGATAAAATATGATACTCTCATTTATATTCTTACTCATATTGAAGTTGTTTTTATTCATATATTTTCATATTCTTTCATTCATCAAGTAGATAAAATTATTTAACTTGTTTTATATAGTTATGCTCTTTACATTATTTTCGTGAAATTACCGTGGTTATCACAGTAACTAGTTTTTGTTGCCTTCATACCAACTAGTGCACTTTTCAATGTTTCTATATTGTAATTGAATAAATTCATTTCTTTTCACTCCATGGGTTATGGCTTTTGCTATTGTTCACTCTTATTCGGTTACTAGTAAATCTAGTTGTTGTTCTTAAACGCCTCAAAATGATTCATGTAAAGCCTCATAATTTTTGACATCTTTACCTAACATAATTTGAAGATTGGAAATTCAATTGTTTAAACGTCAAAATGGATTAATATTGTTCATCAAATGCAACTGTAATAATTACAAACGCTTTATTATTCCTGACATAACTTGTAATTATGGTAAACGTTTGGTTATGTAGAAATTACTCAATACAACACTGATACTTCATGACAGCAATAATGACCTTTGATTCATATGCGTTATTGGTTTTTTGCGAGTTTAATAAAACATATCAAACGGAATAAATTTACTTCATTCTTTGTCCGCTGTTTTTGTTGTCAGTTGAAATGTCACTGGTAACTCAGACAAGCCAAATAACTATTTCGTTCAATGTCTAAACTCCACAGTTGTGTTCGTCCTTGGTGTTTTTTTGCACTGAACCGTGTCTTCGAAAAGTTTTAACTAGTTAAACTATCAAAATAAAACTCTGCTAAACTGAACTATCAGTATTTATCTAAATATTTAGTTGGGAAACTATAATGTATGGACAACCTTTGAGCGATGCTGAAGTGATCTTGATACAGCTCACCTACTTACTAGGGTGAAAAAAGGGTTATAAATTTGTTTTAGGAATTAGAGTTCTAATTTAGAGTAAGGAATTAAAACATGGTTATTCATCACGAACTGACATAAGCTATAATTCCAAAATGTTGTTCGAATACATGGATGAATGAAGTTTGCGTATAATTGGGAAACTTCCTATCCTTAATTTCATTGATTTGTCCATAAATTATAGTCTTTTCGTCTGAATACTTGACTGATACTATAATCAAAGATCTAATGTTTTTCAAAACTTATTAGAATATCAAAAGTGGTAGGCTTTTATATATAATAATTTATTCATATTACCATATGTTATTCATAATACATTGAATAATCAAATTTCATTGTATTCATTATAATTATAGCCGAGAAAAAAATAATGGCATATATTCTTTTTTTGATGAACAGTTCGCCTATAAGATAAGAGTAAGATGCTTTTTGCAGAATACTAGACGATAATAAAAATTCTCGTGAATGAAAGCAAAAGTAGCTAACTTTTAATATTTTTCAGAAGATTACATAAACATGATTTATTTGAGCTCTTTCACATAGTAGAGTGATAAGTTATGAAATCTGAAAACGCTTGGTCTTGTGCTTTCATATGACTTGCTGAATATTCACTACTTCTCGAATAAGTGAAATGTTTAAATTCTAAGCACATATTTGCATATATTTATTTCCATTGTTTAAACTTATCATAGGGAAAACATTTATCATCAATCTTAAACAATCTGTTGTGTTATTAGAAATCTGACTAAAGCTTTAAAACTTCCATAAAAAGTAGAACTAACCATACGGATAAAAATACCGAGATTTCAGTGTCTAGAAGAAGCACAATAACTCAATTATCAATCATGAAATAGCTAATATTGAGCTCTTGTACGTATTCTCTCTTCTTGTTCATATTTTAAGTTTCTGTTATTTAAATAGTTTTACACTACTGCACTTTCATTGTCACATAGAACTTTATACATTACACAGTCACCGGTCTATAATTTGATACAGCCGTAGATTACATAATTTGTTGGCGTAAATTATCAGATAAATTTGAAAATAATAATAACTCAAACTGTGCTGACTTATCACCTAATTTAACTAATTCTGTCTTAACTTAGCCAGTGTGTATTTCGGTGAGTGTTTTTACGATACAACATTAAAATTCACTAAATCCAACCTGGCCTATATTTCTTCTCATTAAATCAAGGAGTATAATTCACAATTAGTTAATCTCTTCAATAACTTAATATTTTTTAGTATCAACTTACCACTTGATTCTTCAGAAACTCATGAATTTCTGCGTAAAGTTTTTCACTTCCAATTTCTCCTTGTTGAAGCCAATTCGTATCAGATTTAGCTCTGAATTCCGCCATGGAATCTAAGTTAGTCCTACTAGACTCTTTCATTTGTTGATTAACATTTTCATATTCGTCTACTGTACCATGTTCGTCGTTTGGAATATGAGAATAATATGGCTGAGTAATCAAAAGTAAACATACATGAACAGTTGTAAAACGACTAATTGTGTGGTATGTATGCACTTTTTAGCATAAGGTAAACAAATGTACAATAGTAACCATATTATGAACGAAAAGTTTGGTCAATAATTTTATCCGTTAAGTAAATGTTAGTGAAGTCTAAGTTTAAAGGTTGAAACTTTCATGAGTAGGTATCCATGATCACGGATCAACTAGAACAATCTCAATATTTCTTAATAACCAATATTATAATTGTTTCAATTAATCCTTGTTCAATCTATAGTGTATGGCAAAAGGATTTAAATTTTTTCAATGGTAACATAGAGAGAATCTATTTTGTACCCAATTTCTCCTATTCTAAACTTACCTGCTGATCTATTTTTAATTCTTCAACAAAATCTAGAAAGCGAGCACTTTGTAATTGTATAGTGAGACTTGCATTTTCCTAAGAAAAAAACAATAAACCAATATGAATTCACAACTAAAAATTGATCAAATTTTGCTTAAATTTTGATTTAGGGGTTTTATCTTTGCTTACTACTGATGTGAAAGTATATTCTCTATTCATTGAAAAATTCTAGAAAGTCTGCTTAGGTATTAAGATAGAGTTGACTATGTTACTTTTAATATTCACCTTGTAATATCATTTTTAAACTATCCAGTATCATTATATTTGGCTTGTGACTAGAAATGCAGTCAAGGATATACGTTATGTTCTGTACTTGGTAACCATGTACTTGAATCCCAACACTGACATTAACACTGAAAATTGAACCCAGTATCTCACGAAAAACTTCACCACACTACCTAATAAGCACCTCATTTAACGGGTATGGATTTATGTTCTGAGATTTCTGGTTGTTGATATTAAACACTACGCTTAGTCAGCTTCTGATAACATATGTGCGTCCCGAAAGGAATGGCCTAATGCCATCTTGTATTTGTAAGTTTTATTAAATTTGGATTGCTGTTAACAGTGGTGTCCAGGTGGTTATTGCTATCTGGCAGTTCAACTAAATATTAAATTTAATTCCACAAAATCTGTTTCCAGTCAAAGAAATCCGATCACTGAATGGCCATGAGCAAAGCAAGTAATCGATCCATGGTGTGACTACATAATTTGGGTGAATTTTAATGAATTATAGACTTCTAACACCCCATAATTGATACTATTTCTCAGTTAGTAACTGATGATATATATTAAACATACACTTTGTATTATATTCTTCATATTAATAATCATAAATTCCAAACACTTACCAGAAAACTATCTGATCTTAGCATGATTGATTTTTCGTCATCTTTATTTTGTATTTTATCTAATGTTCGTAGACGAATTGGAGGTTTAAGAAGACAAAGTTTATGCGTTCCATTACGTAAAAATCCCCTGAAAATATTAAGCAATTTAATCCCAATAAAAAATAGGTCTTTTTAACAGTGAGATTAGCATCAGTAACGGGTTTTGTGAATATTATAGTAATTTAATACTTGAATTTATGAGTTAATTAAAGCTAGGTTACTATGGCAAACCTGGAAACACTGGACGGTGTTTTATACACCGCAAACATTAAAAGTTGTATTCTGAAAGTAAGTATTCGTAATTTAATTTGATGTCTCATCAAATTACATAGATTTAAATGTCTTCTGAATTTCAGGTTGCCGACTAAATCTATACACCTTTTGGACAATAATCTTATATAGGTTCAGATTTCTTTTTAAAAAATCTTTACAATCTATTGGGAAGGGATCAAGTATGAGATCATACCATTTTTACTTAGTGTAGCAATTCATCTATATAACAATTAAATTTACATTATTTCAGTGTGATATTTTATTTGCATCAATTCACCTCAACTTTTGTTTGGCATTAATTCCCTGTGTTTTTCAGTAACGAATAATCAATGCAGGTAAAGTTGTAAATGAGCGAGTGTCTTAGTTAAGAAAATAGGGAGAGATTTTTATTTTGGATGGTGAAAAAGATCTTTAGCTTGCAACAAGGTTCGTATTTTTCCTTGTGTTAAGCCATCACAGATATCAGTTTCAGTCTCAGTTATTTTCTAAGTTTCTGGTTCAACCTACTATACAATCACTTCACATAGGTTAATTGTCGGATTAGCTACTACTGAAGTCATTTTTCTTCCTATTTCTATCAAAATTAACAAGACATTTATAAGAATAGTTATAGTACAGTTATGCTTCTTTATATATATTTATTGTATTAAAATGTTCAGACTATGGGTTTGTTTAAAATACTGATTTTTAACTGGTGGAATATAAAGATCGATTGTAGTTGAAGCGTTGACCCAAGTAAGCCTACTTCTGACAAACAGTCACCTTCAACCCATATTGTCTTTGTCTTATTTCACAATTCAAAATTCTTATTTTTAATTCCTTATTTTTTATCGTTGAGTAAATTGAGTTACGCCAACAACTGAAATTCTGTTATTGTAAATGTATTGAGCTGTTTAAAATTCAATATTTCATCTTTACCATACTTTCAAACTAGAACAAAACATAACAGAAGAAAAATATTCTCAATTATGAATGTAGATAACGGCAGGTTAAAGTTCAACAATAACCAATCAAGATGAAGGTCGATAGAACAAGCTGTCAGTCATATGTGAAGAAATTCTAATACTTTCCTTCTACCTAAAATTTATGCTGATGATGTAGTTCAGAAAAATAGTAAGAGCTTCACGATTCAAATATCCAGCTCAGAAGACGATACAACATTAAAATCATCCACCTGAACTGTAAATCTTCACTATTTAAAAAACGAAATGTACAATGAGTAATGAATAAATAGTATGGGATACGTATTTACCAATCAAAAAGACGCAAGAACGACCAACCAATCAAGTGTATCCTTCGTAATTTAGTGATTTGTCGTTTGTTCGGTTTTCGAGAAACCAGTTGTGGAATGAACCAGTTGCCTGATTTGGTTATACTTATTGATCCACCAATAGTGAATACTAAAGGCACTCTAAATATCTGTATGATTAGTAATGCATTCGAATCGTAGTATGGTTTAGTAAGCTAAAAAATCAAAGTGAGAAAATTACGATAGGGGAGTTTAGGAAAATCAATTATAAATTTCAGAAACAATATTTAATTCTGTAATTTACTTGTCAACCTAAATCCGTATCGCGAATACCGAACTCTATTTTCTTGTTTATCTCTACTCTGTTGTGCTCCCCTCTAATTCACTCCTAATTGTGAGAATGACCCTGACATAATATTTTTTCCATTCATCCCTAACTCTTTTGGTTGTAATACATTACTTGACAGTGTTTCTTCTTATCGGTTGTCTGTATCCCTTTTAATGGTGCACATGGGCTCCAGTATCTTGCGGAAACAAATGGCGTATGAACCAAATGTTGGTCACCGGCTTCCATGGGACTGCATCTCCTCACGATGCTCCACTGTCTTGTGGATCAGACCCTCAGGTCGAAGTCTCGGGGTGTGGCCCTCTAAGAAAACCACCTGCTTCGGTTTGGGCACCTGGGCAGTATCACAGCCCTCACACAGATCGAATGAGATTTGTGTGGCGCATATGTATTTGGTGCCTCTTTGTACCAATATCTATGTGTTGAAATAAATAAATAAAAATTCTTCCTATCACTTTTTATGACTCTTTAGCTTTGTTCATGATATACTTTTTTAAGTGTTTAATTCGTGATGGATAAGAAACACCATGTTCCTGATGTATATCACAGAAGAATCCTTTGAAAACATTTACATTTATATTCTGCATTATTTTACTGATGCTGACAACTATAAAGTTAGGGTCTAAATAGTTATCAAAATAACATGTTCTCTTGTATTTTCTTTACTTTTAGCTGTCACTTATATAAAATAATTTTGTTTTATGACTAGTTCATCTCCTATTTTAATAATTATTCTTGACATAATTTTACATACTGTTTCAATGTTTCACTCAACTAGAAATGATGTGATACATGTGGTAGCGCATCTGGCTACAAAGGAACATAGATTCCAATTCACTTCTCATATAATCACGCTTAAACAAGGCGATATTTAAAAGTCTGATAAAAAACGTGTTGCGGATGTATATATTTCATACATGAGAAAAGGAAAGAATATATGTATGAAATCAGCATGGATTGATCATTAGCCAAACCACTGAACGGATTTGTTTTAGATTATATAGTTTTAATGAGCAACGGAAAAGATTTTTGCAAGATAGGTGTAGACAAACACACATTGATGAGCTCAACTAGAAAAAATGTAAATTGGGTAGATGGTCTAAATTAATTTTTAGAATAAGTATAAAATAAACGTGACATATTTATCGTATGCTATGCAAACAAGAATAAATTTACGTAGACTTATACGAAGTTATTACATACTTACTTGAGGCGCATCTTCCCATTTAGGATTTTCAAGAGACATTGTTGCATCAAATCTGTCAAATAGTAAGTCATCATCATTGCCAAAACCATAAAATTTGTTAACTGGCATAAGGCTAGTATCAGAGCTTCGTATAACTTTAGCCAACCCAAAAATATAATCTCCTTCTAAATGAAATTATGGTAATGGATATTGGTGTATTAAACTTGAATATATACATGTATAAAATAAACATAAGTTTAGTGATAATAAATATATTAAATAGTGTCAGTCTGTGAATTTGAACTCTTTACATGAGTTTGATTATTGTTTTGTGTCATCAATATATGTTTTTGATGTCAACTTAAGTTTATATTTGGCATTCATGGAGCAGCCTAAATAGTTGTGAAAGTCATTCAGACCAATTCATTTAACTTAATTGTTTTCAATAAGGGGTTTTTTAAATTTATTTTAGACAGTTGAATGACATAACCATCATAACTTGTTGCCTTGTTCCCTATTATTATATAACTTCATGATACCGCCAATTAGAGAACAGTAACTTACCGACCGCACCTATCACGCATAAACCCGTACGAGCAATCTATAATCCTTATCGGTTCTTCTTCCTGCCTCGCCCTGCCTGTTGAGTCCAGAACACCAATCTCAGCCTCCGCCACATGAATCACGTATACCAGCGTGTATCTTCACTTACTTCTCACGCAATACATCGACAACTCTAATTCGTTGCTACATATTTCTTTCACTTCAATCATATAAACGATTAGTATTATGCTCCTGACCATAGTTTCAGACCATATATGTGTGATCAGATTGTTCGAAATGTATTGCGCAAATATATCATATAATTCTGATAAACTATGTCTTCTCATTGCATTATCGAAATTTATCAAAGGGACTAATTGTTTTAAACATATGATTACGTTGTGCGGTTTAGGAAATTAATTATTATTAGTCACCATTAATGCAATAAATTGTTTTATGTATCTTACACAAAATTAAATGGACTCATTTCATCCCAATATTAATAATTGTTATGATTATCTCCCTGAATGAAGCTATTACTGAACAACTAGACAAACCATTGAAAGTGTTTAATTTCAGTTACTGAAATTTCCACAAATATGCCATGGATATATAAATGCGGGGTCGTCGAAGAGTTCCATACTAGGACGAGACAATCGTTTAATGCTTCCAGGCATTCGATGGTAGTCTAACTAAGATTAGTTCGTGATATAAACTATGGAGAAACTGTGTTAAGCTTTAGTCTCATGTAAAATTAAAAAGTGTCACAGGATTATTCTCAAGTTAGATTACCTAGGTTCTTTGCCAGAACATAGATATATACTTAATTTTAATTGAACATAAAATAAGTCTGCTGCTTACCTTTTACTATCAAACCCTTAGCGTCCTTTAAACTTAACAGAAAACCGTCATTTACACGATAGAAAAATGGAAACGCTGAACTCATTTGGTTTGGTATACCATTTGTAGTTGTATTTCTTTTAATTGATAATCGTTGAAGTGTGTAACGATATAGATAATCAGGAGTTAAGAAGTCATTTTGTTCTAGATGATTTGAAGTTATTAAAAAAGAAAAAAAAACACTGGAAAGTATCTCTAGTTTTCTATAAAATGATCATTATTGGAAAGATTATTAAAGGCGTAAGAACATAGACTGAACAATTTAGCTAATTCTATAAGTCAACTAGAAATGTTTTTGAATATTATAACTATCTAAACAAATATTCTTGTGAATATGGTGTCATGAGCTTACATTTCAAATTTTACATAAGTAATAATCGTTTTAGATATTTAAAATGACAACTTTTTATGGAGTCGTCTTATGAAGAGTCAACCAATCTTGTACTAAATATTGTGTTCTCATTTCAAGTCATGGGAGTTACAGTAGATCCGGTTTTCCAGGCATAATCAGTATCGTGATGTGTGCTACTGATGTCGATTGATATGAACAGTATCTATCACCAATCGAAATTGAAATGTCTGGTGGCAGAAGGTTAAAATAATCAAAGAAAAGATCAGCAAAAACAAAAAACGATTATTGTGGAAACGAAAGAATAATTTAGTGTGAAACGAATAACTGATATTTGCAAAAGGAACAGTCAAGTTTGAAACAATTTAATATTTGGTTCTCAGCTTTTACTAAGATATTCTGTAGTTTTATGTTTAAGCTTATTCGTTTGTACCCATTTGTGTTCTCATTCATTACAGTATGACAGCGGTACAACAGAGCCGATGCATACATGTTAAGAGTAACACATACATAACAGTGCCAACGGTTACAGGACACAGACATAGCAACAATAAATTATTCGGTTTATTAGATGAGTAATTAAGATGAATTGATGAAGCACACCTTTTCTAATTATCCAGTGATCAGAGATTATTATTTAATTATGTATATTTACCTGAAGATTTGTCGAATTCACCCTCGCGCCGTAAAATCATTTTCACCATACTGTGTATGTCTGTTTTCCTATTTTCATCAGACTGGAATTGACGATATACAACCCATTCAAAATTTGTTGGAGTCGATTCAACTGAACGATATGATCGAAATCTGTATTCCGGTTGAGGTAAAGGCTCCTAAAATACATAAGATATTTTTCAGAAAAATAATTAAGGACAGTAAATTGTTATTTACATATACTGTGTATTATTTGACCCTTCTGGGGTTTTATAATTCAAAATCTACAAAATAATTTACGAATTGAACTGTGAACATTACCCATATTTACATACTTATCCTCAAACATTTAACTAAAAGTCAACTGGTACTATCATTAACAATGAGATATTTATTTCTAAGAAAAAAACACAGGTAATATTCAGAACAAAATGAATTATGAGATAAATATAGGTCACTGATTACCTCTGTATAAGGTAAGAGACGAACAAGAATTGTTGAACAATGTATATAAGGTACATTGTTTAATGAATCGTCTTGATAAAATACTTCATTATTATTCATGTTCTGAGATATTGGTTTCGGTACTTCACATCTTAATCTGAGTTGATGCCCACCAATATTAAGTAGACCCTGTGATAAAGTAAAGAATCAAACGTAGAAATAAACAGAATATAGTCGAAGACTGTATAAAATATATTTACCATTTAATGAATTATGTGCATCGTAAAACATTAAATTATGTATATGCTTCACTGTTTTTGATAGGATTATCAATGACACATTTTCAAATACTTTTCAACCTAATTTGGTCTATAATTTCTAATTTAAACCTTCAGTTATTCTATGATCAACAGTGTTCAATACAAAAATTTAATTGATGGTCGGTAGTTTAGCCACAGCTTTCATTTTCATTGAATTATTTTTTTTCTGGTAAGCGTCAAACTGCATCACGAGGCAAGCCCTAACTTGGAATCCTGAAGGGAAGCGAAAAAGAGGAAGGCCAAAGAACACATTGCGTCGGATAATAGAAGCAGATATGAAAACGATGAATTACAACTGGACGGAGCTAGAAAGGATTGCCCAGGACAGGGTTGGATGGAGAATGCTGGTGAGTGGCCTATGCTCCTTTACGAGGAGTAACAGGCTCAAGTAAGTAATTAAGTTTCATTTTCATAAGGATCTTCGGTAATGTATAAATCGATCCACCACGGTCCGATTCCATGTGTTGCTTCTAGTGTATTGTGTACTAAAACGTTTCTTCTTCATGGGACTTTAGATGTTTAAAGTGAACACAAGATATAATTTGATCAAATTGTTTGAGCGGTTGCCTGATTCCAAGATGATAACCACAAACTTATAGCGAATAGCTTTTAACGCCGTAATATTTTTTTAAAATCAAACTGATACATTAGTATTTCAACTTTTGTTGCTTAACTGATTCATTGCATCATATTAGTGTCCCAATATTCACTGGGTTAGAAGAGTATTAGGAATAGATTGATTTAAATAGGGTCTTTTCAGTTTTGACTTTTGTGAATGCATGTAGTTGTTATGTGTTCATAGTAGGAGCCAACTTTATATCTGAGACTATGATCTGATAAACAAATTGAACGTTTATGTAACGAATGTTAGTCAACAAGATAGTCATAGTTACACTAGCTAATGTTGAAATTGAAAAAAGTCATGCTAATTTTACTAAATTCTGGATGTGATACTAAATATGACTTTATATCAGTTGATTGATCACTGGGTAGAGACCATTATCATATATGTCAAGTCTTTCTTAGTGTTGATCGAATTTTATCGAAAAGGTTGCAATATGACCACCAGTCTAAGCGATTCATTATTGTTTTATCCATAAACAAAAATGTATGTTTGCATCCTATAATCAACTTAACGAATAACATTAATCTTAACTACAATAAAATCATTTCCTATTTATTTTACGTTTTCGAAATCAGTCACATGACAACTTTGATACAGTTAAGCAACTTGTAGGATTCATGGAGAAATATGCTTATATTTCCAGTTTAAGCCTACTACCATTCACTTATACATAACTGAATTTCATATATATTCAACAATGTTATACTCTTACATTTTTAATTGCACTAAACCTGTTTGTAAAGGCTTTCTTAACTTTAATTGGGTATCTTTCAGTAGTTCATATTATTCAGTTGTTTTTGTAGCGGACTACTTTATTATAGATTGTATAATTTTGCTTTCGCAATGAAAGAAAACAAAACTTACATTTGAATTGAATAACTTCAGTAGAACGTTTCCAATGACTACATATTTTAGATTTGTAAGTGTAAGTGTATACACTCTTAGAAATAGTAAAGAGTTCTGGGATAAAGTTTTGTTTTGACTAAGATTAACAATAAAACGTTGATTTGGAGAAAAAACTGGTGATCTACTAGTCTCTCTTATCTCAAAATTTTCTTCTGGTACAAGTAAGATGTCCGATAGTTCCTCATCATACTTTGTATTTAGTAACCGACCAGTAACCTGTAAATAGAAATTTAATACAAGTTTGACGATAGAAGGATAAGGGGTTTATTATTACAATTGACTGATCACTAGGTGGTGATCAATGTCATGTATATCAGGTCTTTCTTAGTGCAGATTGAATCCTATCGACCAAGTTACAATGTGGCCACTAGTCTAGGTGACTCAACACTGCGTGCACTATGTTGAGATAAGATGGTGGTTGGGAGTAGTCATTAAAAAACGCAATGTCGAGTCACCTAGACTAGTGGCCAGGTTGCAACTTGGTCGACAGAATTCTGTCTGCACCAAGAAGGACGTGATATACATGACATTGATCACCATCCAGTGATCAATCAATTGTAATGCATTTCAGTCCTACAGGAGGTCAGCCGTGGCTCAGATAGCTCAACGGTAACTTATCTGACTGTGAAACTTGGGTATACGGGATCAGATCCACCAGGGGGCATCAGTCCTCTTAAAATTACAGGTGCACGTTGCTGACGAGTGCCAAGTAGCACGAAATCAAGGGGGTTTAACATTATTTTATCATTTCTATGGACTTGTAACAGCATTGTGACAGATAGCTTATAAAACATACGAGACTAAAAGAATTAACTACATTTGCATGATCGTACAAATGGTTCTAAGTTGAGTTGTTATATTTTGAAAGCAGCTTTTATCACGAAATGATATTGTTTGAAAATTCATTAGTATCTAACGTGAATTGAACGGCTGTTTTCATATATGCACATATATACACAATAAATAAGTTTACTAAATCATTAGTATATTGATAAATGAGTGTATATTCATATTTATGACTTCAGACTTTTATCCGTGAAGATCATCTTATAGAGGAGAAATTTCTTTGTCGTAATCTTCATCTAACATTTAATATCACAACTATAAGACACGTTTTATTTTTTTGATTGTTGTATCATAGTCAAGCTTCTCATCTGAAAAGTTGTTGTCCCTTAATTTTAAAATTAACGGCAAAAATGAAATTCCGAAGTTAATTACTACAGTCTTGGAATGATTTACAAATCTTATTGTTTGTAAAATTAAAGTTGGAGAATATTTAGATTAGTTACTTGATGACTATTAAGTTCATAAAACAATTTTCCATGATCCAACAGTAGTATAATGATATCAGCTAGATGATATAATCGGCAATGTTGGATAGATATAATATATTAGGTTAAGCTTACTTGGTAGGAGATAGTTGTGACTGGTTTATAATGAACTAGGGAATTATTCCTCTAATCCAGATCATTGAACGTGAATTATTATTAATTTAGAAACATATGAGTGATTTATAAAATTTATTATTTGACTATCAACAATAATGTTTCACTTCTGATCTCGCTCTTTTTCCTTCACATGGTTGGTTGTTCGTGAATTTAGTAGTGACAGTCAGACACTAGAACATTACATCTAGGTGTTAGACCTTATTTTGTATGTATTGACTGAGATTTCAGTAAATGAATGCTGATAAATTTCAACTTGTAGAAATCATCTTATTAGGCCTCTTCTGTTATTATTACTTGATATTAGATAAAATCAACAAGGAAGCTGAACGCTCATCTCTTTGTTTCTACTATATTTAAAGACTTTAAGGTAATTTAAAGGATTACTAATTTAAGAGGAAAATTGTGTATACAAACCGGATAGTTTATTCGTGATCCTTTCAGTGTCATGCTAGACAATATCACAACCATATATTTCAAAAATAAGTGAACTATCACAATTTTTCTGCTCTATATTATTCTTTATCTTCTGATCCTCTCTCTATTTATATTTTATCTGCCCTGCACAAATGTTGAATTACCTTTATTGTCAGTAGTACAAAGATTGTTCTTGAATATTTATCTACTTTAATCGTATAACTGGAAAATACCTTAAAAATTGTCGAGTTATCTGGCATGAAGCGTAATTGATCGACATAAATACAAAATGGTTCAGATGTTGAAGATGGTTTCATTAATCTTTCGTATGGTGCAAGTTTTTTGAATGGTACCCATGGATCGTCGATCGGAGTAGCTGGTGGACTTAATTCTTCAATATCCCTAATAAAATACATAAAATCAATGAAGTGAGTTCAGTAGAATCAAAAAGTGTAAAAGCTACAATGATTAAAAGGCTTACTTCCTGTATTATGAATTTGACAAATTTACTGGTGTAGTCTTTCCGAAGTTAATTATACTAGATAACAATATTAGAAATACTCCTTTATTTTACGTTTAGTTCTGGTAAATGAACGTCTAGTTTTTATTTCCTAATAGGCTTTTTGGATATATACATGGTGTGAAAGTTGTTTTCTTGATATCTCGTTTTACTTTATATTTCCCTGCAGTAGCCAACAACAATATCAGACTTATGGGCAAGATTTTGCAATGGGACACAAGTTAAATGGAAATGGTTGTTTAGTTTTTCCTGATATTCAAAGACTCTTAAATGGTAGCATACAGACTTGTAAGATATCCTTGGGCTTGGTTCATGAAATCAATAATGTTTAATTGTTAAGTGTACGCTGATCTACATAAGAGTATCCCAATTTCAGCCAACGTTAGTTTTGGAGATTCATATTATGATATTCTACTTATTTCACTATTCCTTAATTTTACAAAATATTTATATACTGTTGGCTTTACTCTCTATCACGGTTTTAATTATCCCTACGACATTTTTTTTTAAAAAAACCCACCCTTTTTTAAAAAATTTTTTCAACCCCAAAATTACAATATTTTTCATACCGTTTCGTCCAATGAAAAGGCTATTTTCATAATTCGTTTCAATTGGTTAGTCATGTATTGTCAAATAGTTATAAAATATCAGTACTAGTCGACGACGTACATTTTAATCATCATTATGGAGGAGAGTAACGTTCCAAGTACAAGCACTGTTGTTTCTAACGTAACGGAAATGGAGGAAGTCTTTTTGACTACATTGTTTCTCGTTGCGTTCCCATCGTTTGAAGCGTTGAAGTCCGCTATCACAAATTATGAAAGGTCGACTTACAGTCATTATGTAGTTCGAGATTCGCATTTGAGCAGAGATGAAAACTCGTATATTAAATTTGTATGCTGGAGACATGGTCGTATAAGATCTAGCGGTTCGTCACATCGGATCAGACGGAGGAGGTAAATTGATTAATGTTATTAAAATTTTTGGTCATGAAGGGCTTCCATGAACACTCAATGTCCGGCCTTCATGTATTGCAAGATCATAGACGGCTACTGGACTGTTGTACGTGGGAATGTGCGTCACAATCACGAGTGCAATTCCCTGAGTTACGATGGTAATTCTTGGGTACACAGGTTAACGGAGGCAGAGTTTGAAACTGTGCGACCGCTGCTGATATCCGGTGCCGCAGCATTCGACATTAAGCGTTTTGTCTACCATTCTTATGGGAAACGTTTGAGTGATCAAGATATATTCAATATGCGGTACAAAGTGTTGCATGTAGGAAATGTGGACTTGGATGAAGCGTTCAGTAACGACGAGGAGGAAGTAGTTTCTTTTAACTCCGAAGAGTTCAGGGAACGGGACATCGAATATGAAGAAGAGAACGATGACAACCGTTTGTGATATATGTAATCTTGAACAACCTCTAAATGAAACTGGTGATGCAGCTGCTTGAGTTTTTTGTCCTTACGAAGCACCGTTTCATAGGTTTTGTGCTTACGACCAATCATCAAACGTACGAGCAGTGAACTGTCCGATGTGTGGCGCTATAACCAACTCATAGTTACGCCGTCGGACCGCGAGACCGAGTAAAGGCCCTTTTCAGGGCCACCCACAATTTGATTTACATTCTTTTGGTTGCATCTCTTTTTTTTCTATGGCAAAGGTCAAGTGATTAAGCACTTATTAATGTCAAATGAATTTAGATATACCTTAGAGATTATTAATCGAAAAGCGATTATCACTCATGTATTCTTAACTTTTTTATAACGTTTATGAGATATAAGAATTTGTCATCTAATGATTGTCGGTTTAAATAATGTGATTACCGTTCATTCTTGTACATTCTTGTAATCTATCTAATAATAGTACATTAGAGTAAATTTCAATATAGTGAAAATTGTAATTTTGTCGTTAGGTCAATGAATTTAGGATTATAGATATTAGTGAATATAATAAGATGATTACAATGATTAATGTGATTAAAGCTCATAGGGAAGTAAACACAATTAAGAAACTTATCTTATTTATGAATAAAATAATGACAATATAAAACAAGTTGAAACCATTATCATTGAAATGATTAATGTGATTAAAGGTCATATAGTAGGTGTAAAAAGAAATAAGAATATCAGCCGTTTCATGAATACACAACTAAGAATTTTATATTCTTGTTTTATATTAAAAGTGACAGATAATTCCCATTTAAACATTAGTTAAAACACGAAGTTCAGCGAAGGGATCACTTTTCAACGAATTTATTATCAAACTGTACAATTGTATATATATGAAAATTTTGTTTTTGTAAAAGTACTAATTCTGTGAGGAAATGTGAATACAATTAACCATGACGTAATAAAAGGTTATAATACTAGATTACATAATACGAATAATAACAATAGATTTAGTGAATACAACAAGATGATTAAAATGTTTTTAGAATGAGTTTTGTGGAGAATTTAGGAAATTTCACAGGTTGAAATCATGAGTCAACTGAAGCTAGATCACCATGGAAAACCTGGAAGCACTGGACAGCCGTTTCGTCCTAGTATGGGACTCCTCAGCAGGGGACGTTTCATGCCGCAAAGTTACACATAATTTTCTCAACTAAACAAGTACTCACACAACTAATCAAGGATAAGTTACCGAAGATGGGCTCCTCCATGTGTGTAGACCAATTCAACTGCTCCTGTGGAGCTAGTTACATAGGCCGTACTCAGAGGGCTTTATCCTTGCGTGTTCGTGAACATGTACCAGCTTGGTTGGGAAAAGGATTTACCAAATCGATCAACAACACCATTCTTTCTCACTTGGTAGATAGTGAGCGTCATATCAAAATAGAGGAAGCTTTCTCCGTTTTATATGAAGTTCCAAAATATCTACCTCAAGGAGCCAGATTAGGACTACTTTATATAGCCGAAGCCATCTGGATCAACTCCAGAAGACCTAATTTACGTATCCAGAATAAATATATCCAGCCTCTATGTTTACCGTAACCTACCACTGGATCACCGAATACCCAGATTGAATATTATAAACCTCTTACCCCCTTCCTTTATTTCATTTATTTACCTTGTTATCATTAATTTTGATTATCTATATCTTAATCTTCACATTCATCAGTCCTAATTCGTTGATCGTAATTACCTTGATAACACCCCCCTTTTTACATATTATATTCACACAACAATCTTATTATTATTATCTCAATTGACAAGATTAAATTCTCCTACTATGCATTTTATTCACACAATTTTTTTTTGCATTTTCATACTATTATACTTATGGTGACTGAACACTTTACTCCTTATCATCCTGACCTTTATTGAATGACCTTTCTAATTTGTCAAATAATACAATATATATATGTTGTAACAGATGCAAACGTGCACCATTTTTAACACGTAACATTGTCAAATTGATTAATACATGCCTTAATTTTGGCCTTTGTAAAATATTATAATTATGGACTTATAATTGTAGAGCCTGATGATGAAGTTATTGAAAACAATTGTTCGCTCAAATATTCTTTATTTTTGTAGATAGTGATAAATAATGAAAGGAACCTTATGCATATTTATACGTAGGCTTGCTCATTTACACTTAATGAAACTAATATTTCAAATGCTTGTCAAAATTGGTTACATTTGTAATGTCTAGATATTTCGAATTTCATATTACGGTTAGTAATATTCACACATGACAGCCTAAACACACTAGTTTTTATTGTCATAATTCTAAAAGGCAGAACTACAAAGAATGTACAGGTGAAAACAATAAATTGTTCCAATGGATTTTGAAAATAACGGTATTGAAATCTAACATTTTCCAATGGAAACCGTTTATAAAGCGACAGTAAACAACTACTTCTTATTAAATAATGCAAGAATAAATATTGGTGCAGAATAGTATAAATTCATAATATTTCGAGGTTTCTCGTCAGCTGCTTACAAACCAAAAATGTGATAGGATTTTTACATTGAGAAAACAATTGACATAGATGAGTGCAAATAACTGGATTACAATAATAACTATATATATATATATATATATATATATATATATATATATATATATATATATATATATATATATATATATATATATATATATATATATATATATATTATATATATATATATATATATATATATATATAAATTCAGGAATGACTATTTACAAAATAACCCATTAATAAATATTATGTGCCTATTTTGGTAAAAATTATTACTTCTTTGATATACCGTCAAAGTCGCTTCATTAACCGATGATTTGCGGTTCGTTCGCCTGATTTATACATGTCATCATCAGTAATTTATCACGATGATTTATTGATATGTTGATTTCTTTTTCCGATTAACATACTATGTGTTACCAAAAAACGTATGCACACACTTTGGTGATAATTTGCTTATTAATTTGGTATTCAGCATTTGACTACCGACCTCATTCAGTAATCACTATTATCAAATATTCAAACCGGTTTTCAGTTCCTTTTTTCCAAAACTTTCTTTTAATGTGATACATATAAGTATTCATGGCACGATAACTAATAACTTCAATTCAAGGTATACTTGATCGAAAAACTAAAATTTATCCCAATACACATTCGCTAACAGTAGGATTGCACGGTAGTGCAATTTTTTTCAAGACTAAGATTACACAAAAAGAATTACTCATTATCATTAAATTTCAAATGTAAAATTGCAAATTCTGATAACCGATCAAAGCACTTGATGCTATTTCGATTTTAACTAATGAGATTACACAGACGAACAGTTTACGACCAACTACAAGATTATTAAAGGTTACAAAATGTTTGTTCATTATCACTTGAGCACACACTTGCAAAAACAAGTACACCAATCCCTAAAAAATTTTTCACACCCTACAATTTCTAAGAAATGGGTGGTAGGGAACCATAATTGACGTTCAGTACTGTAACAAAGTCACCAATTTACTTATTATACTTAATAGTGAATTGATACAATTGACCTTATTATTAATATGTATAGTTGAGATAGAAATTTATTTGGTCAGACGACGTAGGCTTGTTCATTGACACTTAATACAACCAGTATTTCGAATGCTTGTCAAAAATGGTTATATTCATATCCAACTGCCAATACCGATCAGCTTCTTAAGTCATAGCACTTCTCATTTCTATATTCGCTTCCATCCTCTTCATGAAAGATTGCTGTTTAGTGCTAACAATATCATACCTATCCATATCACTGTAGCTACTAATATTATTGACACTTGTTACCCTTGGTAGATAATTGGAATTACATACGAACATCAACTAAGAAACCATTTGAAACCACGAGGCACTAAGTAACTTTTTCAAGCTAAATAAGAACTACACATCGTTGAGCAATCATGACACAAAACATGAGGGATCAGAGAACCTCCAAATCAGGAACCGAATGAGATATATTTAGACAAATGATTTAAAATTCTTAAGGCAATGTTCTTAACATCAATCACTTCTGATATTGTACAATTCTCATAGTTTTATAAAATTACTGGTGTATTGTATTCCTCGTGCTATTTATTATTGAAAATTAACTTCAATGCCGGCTCAGTGGTCTAGAGGTTAAGCGCTCGCGCGCGAGACCGGCTGGTCCCTGGGTTCGAATCCCGCGGGGCGGGATCGTGGATGAACACTGCTGAGGAGTTCCACAATAGAATGAAACGGCCGTCCAGTGCTTTCAGGTTTTCCGTGGTGGTCTAGCTTCAGTTGACTCATGAACCCCACCATTAAATGAGCATAATATGCACAAAAGCCCATTCTGAAAATTAATTAATTAGTTGCAATTTATCCAAATTAAATATTATAAATTATATTTATTTATTTATTTTTAATGAACAGAAATACGACATCAAAATATCACACAAATTTTCTATATGCAAATACGTTTTTATAACTTTGACTAACGGGTATTACAATTTGGGAATTAATTATTCAGTTTACTTACTCAACTTCCTGGTCTATAATTTGTTCTTCTTGAAGATATTCAGCATCTTCAATATTTACTGTTTCTTTATATATCACCTTAGTTTGAACTGATCTAGTTATATAGATAGTTGGTTGTTCTATAACTGTCGGTACTACTTCAATATTAGGGTTATAAAGTCGAAGAGAGATTCGTGACCCATGTAGAAGTTGAAGTGCTAAAAAGTTAAAACAAAATAGTTTTTTTAATTTTCGAAAGTCTTTATGTGGTTTTGAATTGATGGGAATTCTGTTACATTCATATGTCTTTACTATATCAATATGAATGTTTATGGCCCATACATTAATTAGCATCGACATATAATTAATATGCATTTTAACTAACGTTTCTGAAACATGTTCGAATCATCTAACAGTATTAAACAATCACTATCAGAACTAAAAAAATTCATACACTTTGTAAAGAATGTACAACCTGACACATAAGACTCATAAAATGTTATCGGTCGTAGGACACAGTTGATTTCAGACGTTCATATCTTAAACCATCTACTCGTCATAAAAGAAGGTCATGTTACAGCTAACATACAATAAAACTCTGTTATATACATAGTTCCCTCCACTAACTTGGGAAAGAGGGGGCTCAAAGATTTGAGGTAGATGACCTGCATTTGTTTTATTTCGTTAGGTACTTATGAGAGGTTGGCAACCACAATCACACAGTTGAGTTTTGTCTGTTGACATTTATTTAGCCCTTTAACTAATCAATTATTGATGTTAGTTATAATTTGCCTTGATCTTTACACGTATATTTCCATTCTTGTATGGATGTGGACGATTGAAGGGATGTGATGCCTATGTATGTATTTCGTCTACCCACTTAAATCTTTTAATGATTTTTTTCATGTTTATACATATTTCCTAGGTAAAGTCTATTATTTAATTCGTCAACTCATCTCTCACACTATGTACTTGCTCATTTGTTGTGTGCTAAATCAAACTATTACAACAATTTTTTATCGTCTTCTGGGCATTGTACACCGTTTGGAACGGTAATCAAGGCAATTGGCATATGAAGCTATTACAAGATTAACATTACAACTATAGAAATGAAACTACATGTTAGTGTGAGCACATCAATATATTGTAGCTAAGATAATTTAAAATGACCGTACTGCTTCATGTTTGGTTGTAATGGTTTTCATTAATTGTTTGCTCTAATGCAACCTTTTCTTAATATCACAGTATTATATCTTAATACATTTTCTAATATTGACTTCCACTTAAAGGATAGTTATAGTTAATTAGACCAAGTTCGGTAAATATTTCGGGTTGTGGCACTAATTGTTCAGTATTTTCTAATATAGAAGTTATTACCTAAACATTAAATGAGTGATGTTTGTAACTTGTTGTTTTACGCTTGTTCAAACATCTAAGGAACTATCACTATCCACAAGAGTGAAAATGTCTACATGATCACTAATGACAAAGCCAAATCTTAATCCCATGATTTGATGTTATCCTCTTGTAAGTACCCATTTTCATGTATTTTTTCTTAAACTTATTAATGATGATATAAAACTTCTAAGTGAACACTTCCATGTAGTCCTTGGTTGTATTGGTCTCAATGCCTTGAGGTTAGATTTTCTTCGTCAAATAGAATTAAGGCATTGAATGAATATTCTGTTTATATTTTATTCTTATGTACTTCATCAAGATTATGCAAATAGGATATTGAATGTAAGAAATCAAACTAAAATAGTTCACATCCGTTTCTCTTGGACAATGTAGTTTTTCGCGAATTAAGATACTTCTAAATGTGATTGCTTCTCTTTAAAAATTTCACAATCTTTTTATGGATAATTATTTCTATTGTAGATATATTTTCACCTTAACAAACTTTATATATTTCTATCAAAAAAGGATTTCAGGTTCTTAATATGATAATTTCAGTGTAAAAAAACTGATTGTGTTATACTCTACTCATAATTAACTTACGTATAGAATTATCTGTTTCTATGATGGGTAATGAGTAGAAGTGATAAAATAAATAATTGAATGGAATTAACAAATAATCCATAGTCCATGCAGAATCATATAATATTTCTGGATAGGTACCTTGTTCAATTGGATTGATAACCTCACGTGTCCATAATTTATATGGATAAATCTGAAAATTGGATTAGTGTAAGTAGGTATTTACGTTAGTTTGAGATATAAACTAAATGGTTTATTTGTTAAAGATACAACCGGAAAATCATATAATTTAGGGAATATTATGGATTTATAAGTAGATTTACTAGTTAGATTACATAAAATGAAGTGAATTTGTGCCTAAATGATAACTCTTCACATTAACTGGATTTACTGACACAAAGTCACAGTGAACAGATCTAAAACTTCTTATTAAGCATAAATTATTTACTAATATAGACAATATTTGACACGAAATAAAAATGGAAGAACCTCAAAATATCTGTGATTAAAATCTATTATTTACACATGACCCTGCATTGATGGACAATTTTTCGCATCTTCCCGCTTTGCTCCCCTCAAACCTGTTCCTCATGAATATCGGTGATTTTAAAGATAGTGAATTCGGTTATTATTGAAATATTTATGATCATACCTTCGAAATTTATCTTTAGGTTAGAAGGGAACGGTTATATCTTTTGCCCTGTTAATTATCACATGATAAAATCGCCAGTTAAAACACTGGCTCACATGACCTTGGCGCTATGCCAAACCAATGATTTTAAGATGGTAGAGATTTGTAGCTCAAGTGGATGATTTTGATGGAGTTTTGTTCTCTGAGATGGATGGTTTGGTCGTGGAGCTTTCATCGTTCTTCTGAACGACATCATCAGCACAAACTTCAGATTGAAGTGAAGTGTCTGGATTTCTCCATATGCGTTTCACAGCTTGTTCTGTACACCTCGATATTAATTGGTTCTTATCGACCTTAAATTTTTCGTTGTTTACTCCTTTGTTTTGGTTGTATCTCCCATTGGTTTGATTTTTGTTCCTATATTTGTGCATAATTTTCCTGACTGGTTGATAAATTGGATCGATTTCAATGTGCTTGTTGATTGCTGATTGACCTGACGGCCAGGTTTCTAAAATTTCTCTGTTTTTGGAATTTTCTCTGTCCAAGATTTCCTCATTTTTCCAATCGAATGAGTGTCTGCAGTTGTCCACGTGTATTGATATAAGTGAGGAAATATCATGGCGTTTGACTGCTAATTGATGTTCATGTAGGCGAAGGTGAAGGGGGCGCCCGCTTTGTCCGACAAAGTAAACAATGAAAAATTTAAGGTCGACAAGAAAAAATTAACATCGAGGTGTACAGAGCAAGCTGTGAAACGCATATGGAGAAATCCAGACACTTCACTTCAATCTGAAGTTTGTGCTGATGATGTCGTTCAGAAGAACGATGAAAGCTCCACGACCAAACCATCCATCTCAGAGAACAAAACTCCATCAAACCAATGATTCGTTGACTAGTACGAGCAGCCTAGAGTCAACTAAGAGTCCTTATTGGTTCCTGTCTTGATTTGCCCTGCCCGTTAGGTTCAGAACACAATCTCAGCCTCAATGTATGAATTGTGTGTTACAGACATAAGCAGTTTATATGCAAGCAAATCAGACCTCATCGCACCATACAATAGAAAATTACAATTATACAAGAGCAAGTCAAAAGTGGCTATGAGTGTGAGATACTGTAACTAATAAATTAGGAATAAGTTAAAAATGCTAAATCGTATAATAGTAGCCGATAAGTTAAATGAAAGCTTACATTAAGTGGAATATAAATATATATAATCTAGTTACTTAATAGTTATACAGTATGAATATATGTATAATAACAGTCTGTAAATAATTCCCAGCAGTTACCATTCATTTATTCTTCGTTAGCATATAACAAGCACCGTACCCTACCATACTATACAACAAATTTTTTCAGCAATTTCTTTATCTGTTTACAGTCATTAATTTTTTATACAAAATAATATTTACCAACAGTACCCACTTTAAATAATAATTATGATACTTATATGGAAATAAGTAGATTTTAAATTAAAAGATTACTTAAATAATATTGTGGAAGTTTAATCAGAAGATACTAGATTAATTGAGGAACCAGTGAGATTCAGGACGCTGGTTGGTTGATTTGTCGCAGTTCATGAGATGGTGGGGAAGATTTGTAGCTCAGGTGTATAATTGAGGTAGGATTTTGTTCTCGGTGTCGGTAGATTCGGTCGTGAAGCTTTTATCGTTCTTCCGAAAAATATCATCAGCACAACTCTAGGTGAAGTGAAGTTTACCAATTATATCTCAGTTTTAATTTGGCGGGAAATAAGTATGTTTGATAACGGATTAACCACTTTTTGTAATTTGTCTTTCACCCACATCATGTTTTAGATTTAATTTTCAGTCTTAGAAAAATATTGCTTTAAATTTTCCTAGATGTGTTTACTCATGAAATATAGTGGAATAGCTATTAAAAATCAAGTCATATGGAACTGACTTCCATTCATTTTTGAACTAAGAGAAATCGCATACATATATCTTTTTTTATTAGGTCATCTCAGTCAAGTATTTTTGCTGTAGAAAGATTGATGCAATGACGACTTATGGACTGAGCAACTTACCTTTCAGACAAATATAAATCAATCCTACCTATGTTTGAACTAATCATAGTTAATTGAGCATCAATGATATTTATTTAACTAATTCACCTACCTTTGAGCCAGTTTCGCTAACAAATTTGGAGTTGTCTTTCTTAGTAAAACACTGTATCTGTGTCCAACCGAATGTTACCCAGTCACCTACAAAACAAAAGACTGGTTTCAACATGAATCCTCAACAGGTTCAAAGTTTATATGTTCTTATAAATTTATATAAGTTGTATATGTTGGGATACTGTGTTAACGAAACTTGACAACGAGATGTTCCAAGTTTGATAAAACTGAATAGAATTATCGTTATACAGATAACTGATAACAAGCTACCTATGTGGGGCGTGACAGTCTATCACCTATGCTTTATAAATAATTTTAATAGCGCGTATTCATTAATTAATGTCAAATGCGAAGAGGAAGAATGGATAGTTCTTTGAAAAGTCATTCAGTAGACGATTTCTCGATGCAGAAATAAAGGATAGCTTAATAATGTAATAAAATTACCAAACTAGTTAAATAGTCACTCACTATTATTACTTTCTCCATCAGTATTTGACTTTTTATATTGTAATGCAACACGAATATACCCAACTAATGAGGGTTTTACATAATTTTGCTCATTCATAGCTTCGATGATCTTAAGTTTCTGTTCCTAAAATTTTAAAACAAAATCAGAAAATTTGATTATTTTGAACTGTTTCTACTTAATTCAATTGTAAATAGTATAAATATTCACAAACTATTTTCCCGTTCATAGTTTTAGGATGTTAATTTTCATTTATTTTTCGTAGACTATACATTCTTGAACTTTCTTAGTTTCCCTATGTATATATCGATTGAATTAAATTCTGTAAGATGATGAAAGGCTATCTAGATGATTAATTACACTTCTTAACAAATAACCCTAAATGTACGTTGAATTTTATAATGTGTAATCACTAGCACGTAATTAAAGAATAATCAATAATACTTCTCATTCGTAATGTCTAAATTACTACTTATTTAAAAGAAAATTTAGCTTAGTTAAACAGTTTAGGAGGCCTCTTGTATATGTTTAATAACTTTCCGAATTTAGTAGAGGGAAAAGATGCTGAACATTTTTTATTTAATGTCATATGACAAAATTCCAAGAATTGAAAAAAAATAAAGACATTTTTATCAGCTTGAAGTACACAGTTTAGAAACTAAAAGTAACAATATTCTTCAAAACGTATAAGTTGTATTTCCCTACATTTAAAATTTTTATTTAAGAACAAAGCAATCTAAAGAGCGTGGTGAACAAAATTTATTAGTCGTTCAAAGGGAACCCTGTTTTTATTGAATCAAATCCAATTGTTGTTTAGTAGGGCCTGTTGTTTAATCGTCATTTTGATCGAACGATGTTGTCGAAAGGGCTCTCCACTTTAGTGGCCCGTAGATCTGACTTCAATTAGATCGTAATGAATGTCTGTTATCACCTATCCTCGTACATAATCATCGACTTTAGTCAATAACGGAATTAAATAAGTCAAATAACGAGAATGGACTTTTGAACACATATATTTTGTATATGAAGCGAATGGAATAGAGAGAAGCGAAACGACGCGCAGTGGAGATGGCTGGTAAGCCAACTCCCATTTAACCAAGCGTTAATCAATATTTGTAGTTACACGAAAGTAAGTTATAGACATGTAATGAGTAATGGGACAAGAAATGTACACACACCTACGCGCTCAAATAAAAACAGTCAAGATTGATAAGCGGATAAATAATAAGGTCAGAATGAGATTCAAGTAGAATGAATAGAATGGGCTGTCCGAAAGCTAGAATAAGGTATATGGGATTAACATAATAACCGACACTACAGTTGTGTCACAACGGCATTCAAACTTAGCCATTGGAAATTGAAACAGTTATAACATCAGATAACAATCCCAATATCAAAGCTGTTTGAAAAAACCGTTTATCGCTTAGAGTGACTATGAATACTTTTTAGTGGCTAAGTAGTGAAGTTTATGAATGTAGGTTTTAATCATGGAAATTCAAGAGTATTCATTGGATATATTTGACGCAGTAGATGGATATGGTATATTGTTACGTCCTTGATTTGTCTACTGAATAATATAAAGGAGAGAACTCGTCTCGATCTAGGTTAAGGCCTTGACACGATAGGCTAAGTGGTTTTACCTTGAGGCTAGAAATGCGTGAGTCCGAATTGAGACTAATGACCTTGGACAAAGAGACTAAAACTATTCTATCACGTGATCGCTTGATAAGTGGGAGAGCGAGAGAGAAGACAAGTCAACTGGGGACAATGCCCGATTTATTCCTAATTCCCGATTTCAGATTAGCGTAAAATGAATAAATAGATGACTGACATGACCACAACGCCCAAACAACTAGAAAAATACAACCATTTCCGAACCAGGCATTATGGCACAAAACGATCACAAAACGAGCACAAAACGTTAAATTTAAACTGCAATAGCTTTGAAACAGAAAAGGGTATGGCAGTGAATCATACATTAAACGAAGGCATATGTTTTATAGAATAAACTAGGGATCAAACTAAATGTCAGTATTTTACACACTTCCAATGTTTATCATGACTTCTTTGTCTGTCTATTCACATCATATTATAAAGAATTTGAAATAAAATAAGACTGACAATCACGAAAAGGACTTTGGAACTTTGAACATTTTGCGGAATACTTCAGATGAATTACATAAAGTCGTATTAATTCAATTGGCTAACACTCCCAAAACAAAATGAAAATTGAGCAAATTTTAAAATCTCGAATATTATAATAAGCTGTGTATATTCTGGTATTTGTATGATTTCAAATAATCTGATAGAATCTTATTTAATAGTATTAAGAAGTTGATAATAAAATAAGTATGATAATCAAAAGTTTGTGAAATATGACTGTACTTTATTAGTAATCTTAGTGATTTAGGAGAAAAATCTTCAGACTACTTATGGAAATATATCAGAAATTGTATTTTAGATGACTGAGGGCTCGTAAACTATTCAAGCTTTATAATTGAATGTTCAACCACATATGTTATTGTTACTGTAACTGTATATTCGTGTAACAAAATGACCATAAATAAAAGTTTTAAAAAAATTAGTATTCTGTATGCCAGTGAATAAGTACTTGAAACTGATAGATCAGACACTTTTTAATGTATTCGTGTGATAGTGTAGTTATCACTATACAGCTTTTGTAATTCTTTGGTCAATCAAGAAATCATTAAACAGTGCAAATACAATGATTAGTGACAATAGATTATATGAAGTTTAACGAATTTGTTTGCTTTCCCGGCAAATCATTTGACATTACTCAATTACGCCTGTTAACCCTCATGGAGGAGAATAGGGGGCTCACTAGCATTTCCCATCTAACTTTGTCCTGGACAATCCGTTTCAGTTGTTTCCAGTTGCTACTCATCCTTTTCATGTCTGCTTGCAGTTCCCAACGCAATATGTTCTTTGGTATTCCTCATTTTTGTATCCCTTCAGGATTCCAATTTAGTGATTGCTCCATGATGCAGTTTGATGATTTCCTCAATGTGTGTTCTATCCACTTCCACCACCTTTTCCTAATTTCCGCCTCAGCTGGAAGTTGGTTTGTTCTCGTCCACAGTAGGCTGTTGCTGATGGTATCCGGCCATCAACAGACATTCATTATCTTACGTAGACAATTGTTTATAAATATTTGTACCTTATTGATGGTGGTTATAGTAGTTCCCGAAGCTTCAGCTCCGTACAGTAGAACTATCTTGACGCTCGTGTTGAAGGTTTTCACTTTGATATTGGTTGATATTTGTTTTGAGTTCCCCATATTGTTCAAGTGTAGGGATGCGGGCCTTGATTTATCAATCCTTGCCTTTACATCTGAATCAGATCCTCCTTTTCATCGATGATGCTACCCAGATACGTGAAACTTTCCACCCCTTCCAGAATTTCTCCATCAAGTGTGATTATGTTGATGTTCTCCGTGTTATATTTGAGGATCTTGTATAGTATTGAAATTTTAAAACATCCTATTATCTATTAATTTATATTTCAAGAGTACTGATTAATTTCAGCCTTTTATTAACTTCTATCCATTGGTAATAATAAAAATAAATTGTTTATAGACAAACTATTAAAAGACTGAATCCTTTTTTTAACCAATAAAATTGAAATTTACCATAAAAGAGTATGGTTGTTCCATGTTAAATTGAAACATGGTAATATACATTTTAGATTGTTCTTGCATAAATGATGGATATGAATAATTTGTGATTGAATTAGGCTTATTTTTACTGTAATCTTCATCAGTAGAATAAATCTGATCTAAGAAATCATATATTCGTGATATTTTCCCATGAAATATAATTGTCGGTATAGTTTCAGTCAAAGTACTTTGTTTTATTTCCTCTTCAACCATATAGTCCAATTTTATACGAAATAAATCAGGGGGTAAAATCTAGGGAAAAAAGAATAGTTATTTATAAAAAGATAAGCTTCAGTCAATAGACTATATACATAGAATCACTAAACAGAGCATAATCTGCCTATATCGTATCTTATTATTGTTTCTTTACCTACGAATATCATCAACTGACTTATAGTTATCTTTATTGACACAACTTGAATCGACCAGCCCCACTAAACCCACCCAATATCGAAGTAGCACCCACGGACCTCCCAATCACTGTTGGCCCACCAACAATTGAAGAAATCAGCATGGCCATCAGACAAATCAAGAGTGGCAAAGCAGCAGGACCAGACAACATTCCAGCAGAGGCACTAAAAGCAGACGTAGCGGCAACTGCAAGGATACTCCACATTCTTTTCAATAAAATTTGGGATGAGGAACAAGTACCAAAAGACTGGAAAGAAGGACTCCTGATCAAAATACCGAAGAAAGGTGATCTCAGCAAGTGTGATAACTACAGGGGCATCACTCTTCTCTCAATACCGGGAAAAGTCTTCAACAGGGTATTGTTAAATAGGATGAAGGACTGCGCAGACGTCTAACTTCGTGACCAACAGGCAGGATTCTGTAAGGATAGATCGTGTACAGACCAAATCGTAACTCTACGGATCATTGTGGAACAATCAATTGAATGGAATTCATCACTCTACATCAACTTCATTGACTACGAAAAAGCGTTTGATAGCGTGGACAGAACAACACTATGGAAACTTCTTCGACACTACGGCGTGCCTCAGAAGATAGTCAATATCATACGGAATTCCTATGATGGATTAAACTGCAAAATTGTGCATGGAGGACAATTGACAGACTCGTTCGAAGTGAAGACCGGTGTCAGGCAAGGTTGCTTACTCTCACTCTTTCCCTTTCTCCTGGTGATCGACTTTACCATGAAGACGTCAACATCTGAAGGGAAACATGAGATACAGTGGAAATGTAGAATGCAGCTGGACGATATAGACTTCACAGATGATCTGGCCGTTCTGTCGCAATCGCAACGACAAATGCAGGAGAAGACAACCAGTGTAGTAGCAGCCTCAGCAACAATAGGTCTCAATATACACAAAGGGAAGAGCAAGGTTCTCCGATACAACACAGCATGCACCAATCCAATCACAATTGACGGAGAGGATTCGGAAGATGTAAAAACCTTTACATATTTGGGCAGCATCATTGATGAGCACGGTTGGTCTGATGAAGATGTGAAAGCGCGAATCGGCAAAACAAGAGCAGCATATTTACAAATGAAGAACGTCTGGAACTCGAAACAAGTGTCAACCAACACCAAGGTCAGAATTTTCAATACAAATATCAAGACAGTTCTACTGTATGGGGTGGAAACCTTGAGAACTACGAAAGCCATCATCCAGAAGATATAGGTGTTGATTAACAGTTGTCTACGCAAAATACTTCAGATCCGTTGGCCGGACACTATTAGCAACAACGTACTGTGGGAGAGAACAAACCAGATCTCAGTGGAGGAAGAAAACAAGAAGAAGCGCTGGAAGTGGATACGGCACACATTGAGGAAAGCACCCAACTGCGTCACAAGACAAGCCCTCACATGGAATCCTCAAGGCCAAAGGAGGAGAGGAAGACCAAAGAACACATTACGCAGGGAAATGGAGGCAGACATGAGAAAAATGAACAAGGATTGGATGGAATTAGAAAAGAAGGCCCAAAACAGAGTGGGTTGGAGAATGCTGGTCGGCGGCCTATGCTCCATTAGTAGTAACAGGCGTAAGTAGTTAAGTATGTTATCAACACAACACAAATCAAACTAAATAACTATTATGGTTGTTATTAATTATCTTACATTTTTCGACAATGAAAATATATACGTCTATTGTTATTATCTAATTCAATATATTATGTGCTTCTAGTTACATTGAATTACTACTCTATTCAATGGGAGAATACACCGATAAGTATACTCATTAAAATGTGTTATGTTACCTGAAGATATAAATAAATTGGTTGTTTTATGATTTTAAAAAAATGAAGAATTCAAATATGTTTTATCATTGACATCCTGGATCTGTAATGATGAAGTGAGACTGTATTTGGAGCTAAAGAACAGATACATATTTTAAATAGAGAATAATGCTTCCAGGTTTGATTGTATTTATTATCATCTTTAAGTATAACATAATAACATACCGTTTAGTATTCTATACTTTTACAGTGATACAAAAACTGTTACAGAAGAACTTACTTTTCTTGAATCTGTTACTGTTGTTACAATTATATTATGTATAGCAAAGTCTTGTAAATAGAAATTGACATCTTTCTTCGATGTTTCTTGTATTTCCTTTGTTAATGATCTATAATTAAGTATTAAAGTATTCAAATTTTCATTTGATACTTTGGCAGATTCCAACAATGATTTCAAATGCCTTCAAAAACCAAATCACTATGCTTCTCAAAACATTTGATAAGGAAGTGGGACTATAATTTATGGACGACCTTTGAGAGTGTCCACCTAACAACTAAAACTAAATGAGGGTTATAAACCAGTGTGAGGAATTAGAATTATGATTCACAGTTGATGGTTAAGGTTAGGAATTAGATTTAGGGTTTTCATCACGAACTGACATCAGCTATAATGCCAAAACGCTATTTATCCAAATGGTTACGTGAATTGCGCACCAAAATCTAAGACCTGTTGTTTTATACCTGATTGGTTCGGCCATAAATTATGGTCTCGCCGATAAGGTTTTTTTAAATTTGATTATCATTGACTTTATTCAGTATTATATTTTTGGTAAAATATAGAATTCTCAGCACAAAGTATTTCAACAAGTTCCCTTTTCTTATTTCTTGATCAATCGTTGCGACGAATATAACAGTTCAGGAATCGATATCTGAATAATGTATATTCTTTTTCATACTTATTGCCAGCCATCACGATGTCTCCGACTGTACATTTTTGTAACTTGTACAGCGAAATGTCGTAAACTTTTCACAAACGCACCTGAATAGGCTGTGAGAGTAATAGGTATAATGATGTGTTAAAACAAACCAGAAAACAGATAACTTTTTCTTACAAAAAATGCACAGTCGGAGACATCGTGATGGCTAAAAATAAGCATCGAAAAGAATATACATTATTCAGATGTCGATTTCTGAACTGCTAACACCTAACTGGTGACCACCAGTCAATATTCGTCACAACGATTGATCATGATATAAGAAAAGGAAACTTGTTGAAATACTTTGTGGTGAGAATTCTATATTGTACTAAAAATATAATACTGAATAAAGCCAATAATAATAATATACATAGAATCATGGGATATACTAAACAAAATTCTTGATAACATTTTAGTTACCCACTGATTGCCTTGTGAATAAATGTGAAATCAAATACTTATTGGAAGCATTGAAATGTTTTATTTTTTTCTAACTTTAATATAATTTCATCAGTAACTGGAATCATGTAGATCAATATTAAAAAGTAGAGAGCAAATCACATCAACTTCATCTTGATTACTAACTTTACAACAGTGAATATTGATGATTTCACAGTGCATTGAATTAAAGATATTCAGTTACAGTACATCTTATAAGTCGATATTCAATCGTCTATGAATTTAATTCCAGAAAATTTGTGAAATAGTATAATAACCTTTTTCATATCTAATCTGACTGTATACTTAGATTATTTCCTGAACTTTTCAAGATTTTATCAAGCAATTTCGTATACCATCCAGTTACTTATGTTATCCATCAGAATTACAATAAACTAATGAATGTACATAGTAATTAAAAAGAACATTAATCAAAGTGGATTGAGTATAAACTTTGGTTGATTACTGTATTCAGAAGCTTAGTTAAGAGACTATATTATCTATACTTGGGATAATTCCAATTTTCATCTACATACAATCTAAACATTTATTCTTTAGATTTTCATCTACTTTATAGGCATATAACCATCTTTATATTAAATAATAAAACAAAAACTTCCAGGTTTTCCATGGTGGTCTAGCTTCAATCGACTCATGATTTCAACTATTGAAATTAGTAAAATCTCCACAAAACCCCTTCTGATAATAATCATCTACCCACAAGTGACTGACTTCAAGAAGCATTTCCTGTAGTTCTAGTGAGAAGCCGTGACCAGTGGAGTTCAACCGGGTCTATTGTGAGATAATAACTCACTGAAGACAATGGTGTACGGTGGCGCGATTTCGTGGATTAGTTGAAGTTAAACACTAATACCGTTGGATGCCGGCTCATTGGTCTAATGGTTAAGCGCTCGCACGCGAAACTGATAGATCCTAGGTTCAAATCTGGAGGGGGGCGGGATCGTAGATACACACTGCTGAGGAATCCCATACTAGAACGAAACGGCCATCCAGTGCTTCCAGGTTTTTCAATGTTGTTTCGCTTCAATTGACTCATGATTTCAACTACTGAAATTACTAAAATCTCCACAAAACTCCTTCTGATAAAAACTTAAATCTTAATCAAATTCATATTGTATTTCAGTTGCATATTAAATTAGTAATAAACTTTTAAGTACACTGTAGGTGAACATATCAATTTAACCTATTTCTAAAATCTTTTAGAAATTTAGTAACTATAATCACAATTTTTAGTTGTTCATGTAAAATGCAAATTTTACATGATGTATAATGAATATATAAAAAATAAAATTACGTTAGTATATTTTCATCTACATATCTATGTATTATTTGTATTAGATAATTTATAATTAATTTTCATTCTATGTTACTTAGATGTGTTCTCATTCTTATTGGTAACATAAACATAGATTAATTTGATAGATAAATAGATAAACATTTTGATAGTATGTGTATATTTATACCGAATAGTGCTTTTTTTTTTCTAATTTATGTTTACATAACAGCACAAATTATCGTTCAGAACTTATCTTCTATAATGGTTACCCAACTTAATGTGTAAAATATGAATACTATTATAATTTATGCGTACTAAGGTACATCATATATATATCATGCTAATTTACATGCAAGTAAATTTGTTAGTATCCTGATTATTTTTTTTTGCTTTCATAGTTTCTAGTACCATGAATATGGACACTGATTAAATAATGAAGGTTTACTTATTCATTATGTGATAAATGTAGATTGTTTGTCTTGCCAAAGATTAATTAGTCTAGTTAAATAAAAAAATAATTGATAATTGATTTAGTGAAATTCAATTGAAAGTCAAATCAGAATCAGATTTAAATAAAATAAAAAAAGTATTATGTTTATTTTAAACTTATTAAAATGTTCTGATAGTAAATCATAAGTCTCATTGTTTCCATTGTTATTGGCAAAGTGTAATGTATCTGAATGTTTTGGAAGATTTTTAATTTCAATGAATTTTGAATGTTTAATGGATAATTATTCCAGTTTATAAGAAAGGATAAAAATCCTTTTGTAACATTGATATAAAAATCAATTTAACTAATATAATGTTTAAAATATTAATCCCATTAGTCAAGAAATACATAACTAAGATTTGTTAACAGTAAGCTCAGGAAACTCATGCTTATTTTAGATCTAGATATGAATGTACCGATCAAATGCTCACTTTCTATCAGGTTGTAGAACATAGGTATACTTAAAAGCATTTGACTGTTATTGTATTTCTTACAAAAACCTTATGAAGACTTTCCACTTGAACGCTACTTGTCCAATCAGAACTCATGATTATTTATCATTAGAATTGTCAACTTCATGTGGTGCTCTTCAGTAGTGATAACTATCCCCATCTCTATTTAAGTTCTTAATAAATGAACTCTTAGGAATCACTCTTCAACTTTCAAGGGTTAATATCTTACCAGGAGATTCACCTGCTGTCTTAGAATACTCAGATGATATAGTCCTTTTTGATGAAGACAAAGTCTTCAGATGGAGAATTTTCTGATCGCATTGAGCAATGGTACAATCTTCCTTGCTATACGTCTACTTCCCTCCAATTATAATGTTTTTTTAAAGACTAGTCTTCGTCAACGTCTGAATTAGTGGTTCGTATTGAAATGGTTAAGCGTACTAATCACTTAACATATCTCGGAAGCCTCATCATCCCTGGTTGGATGTTGTTTATCAAAATCTTTGCAGAGTTTTTGGAAGCTTCGTTATCTTTTATCAACTCATAAATTTCTAGCCGAACTGTACAGCACACTTTTCTACTTCGAATCGAGTACCTTCCAAATATGTAGCTTTGGGGAGATTCTCGTCTGCTAATCAATGTGCGTGTATGTTGCACAGCACTATACTCTATACTAATTTGTGCTTATGAAACATTAACTTCAACAGTAGAATTACTGCATGAGCTTTAGGTGTTTGATCTTACATGTTCTCAGAGTACTGCTCCAGTAGAACGGGACAACCCAAAAGAAGATGCAACATCACTCCATGAAGTCACTGACTGCTGAATGGAATCAGGTTGATAGGTATAGATCACTTGATTGGCATCCATATGATGAATGTGATAAGTGGTTGGAGACACTGGATGACACGGCTCGAAATCGATCACAATGATGCAGATGAATTGATCATGTTATACCAGCAGGTTCTGATTTTCAAAATTATCTTATACTTTTTACCACAAAAATTAATTTATTTAAATCGTATTTTGTATATCCAAACGTTTTTACTACCATGGATACTATCACTGCTTCTACTGCTTTTATATTCCTCTTGATAATCTTATCTCTCTATGTTGATGTCGTGCGGTAGCTTGGGTTAATACATATTTGTATCATGTTTTACTTTTCTTATGACCAACTGACTACACTATTCAACATACTACAAAAAGAGAAACGCTAACGCGAATAGTTAAAGTGTTGGTTTTAGCAATGTAATTGACAAAAGTCGTTGGTAATATTATTTAAATTCCTAGTTTTCCTAAAGTCTTATGACAAGTGATGATTGACTGAACAATGTAGTAAAGCTGTCAATAATAAAACATCCTTATTCTTCATACGGTCATCATGATCTAACCCTACTTTGGTGTCAACATCAAAGTCTCGGACTTATCGGAAGGTTAGTCAAAACAAATTACTGAAACTGTCCATTTATTCTAAACATTATTATTTATAAAATTAGAAACATATCTAAAACTAACTCAAGAATATATGACCGTTTTTTCTTAAATAGCTTGAACAGAGAATTTAAGTAGAATATATATGGAAGATTTTTTTACAGAACTCATGTAAACATCCTAGGAACTGAGGAAACTTATGTCATATTGTCGAACAAGAAGACAAAATGATACCTATCATATAACCAGCAACCTGCCAATTATGGTAACTAAAGAATATTGCACACAAATTAATGGGGTCAGAAGAATAACTTGTATTAAATCTGTGAAATAAAAAGCAATCAGTAGGATAAGATAATAGAAGTAATGACCGTCAGTAAGGGGTTGAGGAGATTGAAGAATTTTATTGCAACCATGAAATGATTTGAACTAGACCAACATTGAAAACTTGGAACCACTGGAATGTCGTTTTGTTCTATTTCGAGAGACCGTGATCAGTGAAGCTAGCCCATATCCGGTATGAGGTAATTATTCACCGAAAACAATGTCGCAGAAGTTAGACATTAACACTGTTGGATGTCAGCTCGGTGATCTAGAGGTTATGTGTTTGCGTGCGAGACTGAAAGTCCTAGGTTCGATTCTCAAGAGTTGGATCGTGAGTGAGCACTGCTGAGGATTCCCAAGTTAGGATAAAGTACCCGTTCAGTGCTCACAGATGGTCTGATACTCAATAGTTTATGATTTCAAATAACTAATGACATTCGAGATTTGTTACTGAAAACACTGTTAGTTTGTCAACAAATCTCTAGGACTTAGAACTCAGGCTAATTATACACCGCTGACTACAATACACTACTAGAAATTTAAAACGCAATTTTAAAATTGGATTTTGTGCATTATTATGCGATTGACGACTGACCTACATTTCAGTAAAGTTTTTTGGAATTCCATGTTGAATCAAATTGAAACCTTTGTTTCTTTACTTTCAACTTATTCTGTTTAATAGAATACATATGAATCTTTGGAAAACTAGCCATATAAAGTTTCACATAATGCATTGTATCTACTGATATGTACTAATATACTAAACATTACCTCGAAATTCTACTTAGTATAAAGTACTCCGATAACATATGCAAATTTTATGTAGTTCATAACGTAGCTAAAAATGAAGTTTGGTAATACATTGTACTTATATTCAGAAGTACTCTTTCCTAAATGTTTACTTTTGAAATAGGAATATAATGTTATAGTTATAACATTTAATCAAGTGTGCGTTCACGAAGCTAACTTTGATTTACATTTCATGTACGGATATGTCATAATATTTGACCCAATAACACTCAGACTAGTAATCAAGTGATTGAAAACGATATACTTTAACCATTATACCATATCACTGTCTAAACTTATGACCATACAGTAAACTTTATTTAGTGGGTTTTTTTTCCGATATCCTTTCAAAATATTAACTGTATTAGTTAATTTATTAGGTGTTGTTAAACTGTTATACACTGATGCCGAACTCTAAAGTTTTTTGATTAGATCCCATGTTTAATTTCAAGGGTTCTCTGACGGAGACTCTGTATTCATAACGAAATGGTTGCCAAGTGCCCTCTAGTGTTAAAAAAAATATTTACGAAATTTATGTATCAGTCTGAATTCCTTTTTTTAGGATCAAGCAGAAATAAGTATACTGACGGAAATATAATTCGTGTAAATAAATTAAAAGATATCATTATAGCATAACACTTACACTAATTTCCCAGAAAGTCTGTTTAATTTATAATAATTATCATCTAAAACTTTATCTAAATGAATCATATTCCATGTTTGAATTATGTCCTTCGTTAGAAGTTTATTCGGTCCATGGTTTAATAGCTAAAGTTTAAAAATAAACATAACCATATTAATTATTTTCAGGCAATATAGTTTTTGATCTTAACTAACATGTGAAAATGGATTATTATGCATAGTAGAATCAAAGTGCATATATTTTGTCAAGCAACACACTCAATTAAACGTGGGTTTACACTCATAGATTTGGTAAACCTTAAGATAAACTTCCATTTGGTACGTAAATCATTGATAAGCAAAATAGCAATAAGTGAGAAAAACACAGAATAGCACTACTCAAACATAAATACCTTTTACTTTATTGCTAATAAAACATCATATTAGCATAATTGGATGGTGGTTAGTTATGGAATTCAGTAATCATATAATTCTCCTTTAGTCATTGTTAACTAATGTCAATATCAAGGCAATACTCACATATATCAAGACAAACTGATTGATTGCAGTCCGTAACATCAACAGAAAGATTGAAGCAACCAACATAAATGAACAACATATTATTTCTACTAATTTTAGATTATTCGAGGCTATACAAATTTTATTTATCTTCTACTAACGTACAGTTTATTTATAAAATCTCTTATTAATACTCATTTACTAACCAGTACTTTCAGAACGTGGTTGAAATGTGTAACAAGAGTTTTTCTTCAATTTTCCACTTAGTAAGAGTGTAATGGACATACATTAAATAATTACTTATATGACACAATTATGCAGAGGTATCATTGATCTGATATTAGTTGATTATGACACAACAATTTCTAAAGTATTTCATCTTTAATCATAAATTGGTTAATCCTTTTAATAATGTTACTTTGACAAGATGATCGCCTTAATATGTGGTTCGATGTCTATTCATAACATTTAAAACCTGGTGAAATATCATTATAATCTTGGTAAACTACATCGACAACCGGAGACGAATTTGTTCTAATAACGTTTAGAGTTGAAGGAGGTACTTTAAATCATATTTTTAGTAGCTTATTGAATGACATTATGTATATCTCTTTAGTAACTCATTGTTTATATATATATATATATCACTAAAGGATTCATTCGACATAAGAGTTTAATTAACCATCGAAGTATCAGTTCTATACTAAAATGAATGACTGGTCACAAGTTTAGTGCATTCAGTTATAAAACAATGTGTATAGATCTCTATTTAAAACTGCTTTGATAGCAACATTAATTTTATCTAAAAAATAAATGGACTTAAATATATATTTCAACAGAACTAATCAATGGAAATAAATAATCTTTTCAGCATAATCTATCCCCTGTATTTAATCTGCTACGATGGAGATTTCTTATGGAATTTTCAAATCCTTATTTACTTAAAGATCTTACTGAAGACGATTTTCAAGATGACAATAATACATTTTCATACTAGAAATCGTCTTTAAATAGATTTGTTGTAATAGAATTCGATTAATTTGAAATCCAAAGTGCTTGTCTTCGATGAAATTGTTTTGACAAGTTCGTTATATTTTAATCAATAATAACTGGAATATTAATAGATCTTTAAAATCAAAATATTATAACAACTTTCATTTATATGAAAATGAAAAGAACTACACGACCTCGACTTCATCTTGAGTAGATAAAGAGCTAAGATACCTCAGAGGCAGCATGAGAATAAAAAAACAAACGATTTCACCATACTAGTATTGCGTTATAGTATGTTATTGTTATATCTCAAAGTCGCTAATCAGAAGCAGCGAATTATCGATCGGACCAAGGACGCGTAAAACACGTGCGAGCAGCCTAGAGTCCTGACTGGTCCTAGTCCAGCCAGTTAGTTCCAAAACACCAGGCTCAGCCTCTGCAATATGAATCCTTATATTTCAAACATATATACCAATCAAACAGACCACAACGTAGCATAAAATAGAAAATACTATTTGTACAAAATTTGGCCAAATGTGACTGTGAATGTGCGAGGCGGTGACTAATAGACAGGGCATAATTTAAGAATGGTAAAACGTATAATAATGGTTCATAGGTCAAAATAAAGTTTATAATAAGAGAAATATGAATAGTTTAGTTATTTAACAATTATACGATAAAAATATACGTTTAGTATTGGTCCATAAAAGGATCCAAAGGTTACTATTCATTATGTTCATCGGGACCTAACAGTTATACAATTGACTTTCTCATGAAAACTATATTGTCATTTTCTGAAGTGAAGATTTTTAATTTAATAAAATTAATATTTACGTTTAAACTTACTTGTTCCATGTCAATAAAATTGTTAATTTGTAAAATATCTGAGCCTAATAATACAAGGATTGTTTCAGCGAATTCAATAATCACATCACAATTGAATGAATTTAAAAATAATTGATCCCAAAAAAATAATAAAGCTATACTGTTTACAGTGCCAACAAATAGCTGAATAATGATAATAGAGAAACATAAAATAAAACTCAAATTATTGGGAATTTTTTAAAAGTGAATAATACAAATTTTAAGATTTCAATTACTCATAATGTGTTGTGTGCTACTTATATTGACATAAGTAGCATATGATGTTAGTCGATAGCAGAATATCTGGCAGCAGAGAGACAAGAGGATCTAACAGTAAAGAATAGAAACAGGATGCAATGCAAGAACAATGAAGTCTGAGACATTTTGAGACAATTGGTGGACATTTTGCAAATTAAGCATTTACTTTATGATTGTTAGATTTTATTAACAAGTCCCGTAATTTTGCGCTAAATACATTCGATTGTCCCCACTGGTGTTCTGTTCACTAAAATAATACCAAATACTAAAGTACATAAATAGTAATTTGATGTTAAGTTAGATTTCATTTAGATAATACATTTATATTATTCCAATTCTTTATTTTTTTCTGGTTAGGGTTTTTTAGCGAGTTAGTTTTCTATGGGATGGATTCACTAACTATCTTTCTATATCCGGGCTTTAGACCGCCAGTGGCCCCAAGGGGGCTCCAGGCGGAGGAATATTCTCCGATACAACACAGAATGAACCAACAGAATCACACATGACGGAGATTTGGAAGATGTAAAATCCTTTACATATCTGGGCAGCGTTATTGATGAACACGGTGGATCTGATGAAGATGTGAAGGCGCAAAACAAGCGTAGCATATCTACAGTTGAAGGACGTCTAGAATTCAAAAAAATTGCCAACCAACACCAACTTCAGAATTTTCAATACAAGTGTCAAGACAGTTCCACTTTATGTGGTGGAAACTTGGAGAACTACGAAAGCCATCATCCAGAACACATAAGTGTTTATTAACAGATGTCTACTGAAAATAATTCAGATCCGTTGGTCAGACATTATCAACAGCAACCTATTATGGGAGAGAACAAACCAGATTCCATTGGAAGAAGTGCTGGAAGTGGATAGGACTCACATTGACGAAAGCACTCAACTGCATTACAAGGCAAGCTGTCACTTGGAATGTTCAAGGCCAAAGGAGGAGAGGAAGATGAAAGAACACATTACGTCGAAAAACGGACACAGACATGAGAAGAATGAACAACAATTGGATAGAACTAGAAAGGAAAGCGCATAACAAAATTGGTTGGAGAATGCTGGTCGACAACCCATGCTCCATTGGAAGTAACAGTCGTAAGTAAGTAAGTAAGCATTCCTTGTCAGGATAACATTTTTGTAAGCTCACTTGTTACGTAAGCTAAAAATATTTTCTCTATTTTAAAATAAATAAAACTTTTCAGTAATATTTATGGAATTACCCTCAGGTTCTTTTTTTTTCTTCAGACCATTTTAATGATAGGAATTTGTTTATCTGATTAGTATAACAGTGTTGGTCATCAATTGATTTGAAAAATATTATATAACAGTTTGTTTTTTTGTCTTTTGAATAAAATAAACCTTAAATCTTTCCGTAGCATTCATACATCTACAAATTACAATATTTACATAAGACAATATCATAGAAATGAATTTCAAATAGCCTTTAAATATTCTTTATAGAAATGTCCGAAATCACATTTTTAAATTAATGGTTGCCATAGTCGTTAGATAATTTATGTATCATCCTGTTCTCAGTTTGAATTTATTTCAATGTTAAGAGTGGTGTGACTTCTTAGGTGTGCGTGTGTATGTTTTTTAACATATTACTTCAGATTATATTTTCAGTTATCATTCGTTGTTATTAAACTATGTACTCAGTCAATCTTCCATAATTGTATGTGAACATGTTTTGACAAGCTTATGTATTATTAGATTGTTTGAAATGTACCGCGACATATCAGTCTTTTTATAAAGATCAAATCAGTCTTCTGATTATACTTTCGAAATTCTTTTAGCGGATTAATTGCCTTATGAGAATTCCTTAATCATAATTAACATAATAGTACCTCTTTTGAATATTAGACCATCAAACATAAAATCTCTTATTAATGTTGTAAACATCATTCACACAAGAACTATTGAAAATATTTAGGTATTTATTATGAATATGAATAAGTATTTTAATGTAATTCTAAGACATTATCAATTAAATTGTTGCTAGTTCTGTTTCTATGGGATATCAACTTAGTACTGATTATCTCTGGTGTTAGCACATTATCTCTTTATTCACGCTATTAGTCTACAAATTTTATAAATTATGGTTAGTATTTGATACTGATTGACCTCGACTGGATTTAGATAAGAAACCAGAAATCACGGTGTAGCTGCTTTATTCCAGTATATGACTCATCAGTAATGAAGACTTATGACTGCACCAGTGATCGAACACAGAACCCAGAAAAACTTAACCATCAAACTACTGGGTTAGCCTATCATAATACATATTTCCAGCATAAGTCAACTGTAATTACAAGTATCACTTCATGAGAAGTTGATAGCAGCTTTACTGTCATAACATTTTGACAAGAAACTTTACTGCAATAAAAAAGAAAGTTGTAAGTTATCTACCATAGAGTTTCTTATTAGGGTTTTTAAGCATATATGGGACTTTGTAAATGAGCAGAAAAAATATTTTGTTTCCATTTTGTTATTGAAGAACTTACAAGATAAAAGTGGCAAGTAAACTAAATCTCTATTTTACTCTTAAACAGTCCAAACATAAAAACTCAACACAATCACTTACTTTATCGAACCATTGTTTTAAGAGCCTGTGAAGGTATGAGTTTTCATTTTCAATTAATGTATTTAATCTTTGATCAGTATTGAAATTATTCACATTCATCATTTGACTTTGAAATACCTCCAAGATTTATTCCAAGTAATCCGTTGAATTAATAAAACATAAAGTAAAGATGATAAGTGTCTCTTTAAAAAGTAAGTTGAAACAATCTCAACTATATGATCATGTCACTTAATGTCATTCCCATGTTTATATCGTGACTTCATCTAGCTATTGAAATTATTGAGTAAAAACTTCATTCGTCATAGTTTGATGAGGAATTTGATTGTGCATAACATTGAGTGTTAGTTTTATGTTGAGTAAATGAACCACAAAATAACGGTCAAATTATGTTCTATTTACAACTATTTTTGTAACTATACATAGACTAATATTTTAATCCCAACGTATGATTTATCCCCCACCTTAAATAGAACATGGCGAAGGAGTTGACAATTAATACATTTGAAGCACAACCATCGATATTTAATATTTTATACAACAGATGGTTAGTAGTTGAAACTCACAGTAGAAATGGCAGATATACAGAACTACTTCGAATGAATTCCCGAAAGTAAAGTACATTACTTCGAAATCATAATTCATCAAGTTTTTAATTCTAAAAGCTTATGATTAACAAATGGTTTCAGAAGAATAATTAGAATGTACTGTATCAGGTTGGGTAGAAAGTAATCAAACTAAAATATGTTTATTTGACATTTTTCTCATTACAAGAATTCGGCATCACTAAAAGGCTGCTACACAGTGGTTAGTTGAACTATGATGTTTATAATAAGTGTTGAATTCAAACGTTAATCGGATATTATCTCAATATTTGTACTGTTCTCAGATTTTACACTTTGTTAACATTTTCAAACTTAAATTTTGTCAGTAAATGTTTTATATTCAGATTGGATCACTTGTACTTAAGTATTCATTATTTATATTAAAGTTTTGAGGTTCATGGTAGGCTTTACTTTATGACAAGAATCTTTTGCTCAACACGGATGCTATGATATATATATATATATATATATATATATATATATATATATATATGGTTAAAAGTATAGATGAAGAATTTTATAATTATTCTTGTACACAGCTGATATCTAGCTCATTTAGAAATTTATTTACTTGTCATACTGTTAAGCGATACTTACTTAAGTCATTAGCATTGTTATAGATTGAATTCTAGCACGAACAGTTACACCGATATAAAAAATTGTTGGCATTTTCAATGCGATTTTATTATACCCTGAATAGCTTTAAATTCAATTCTTTTAGAGCTGAATACGCACAACTCCTTATCTTCAAACTAACCCTTAAAGTAAACCTATAAGCTTTTATGTAGGTGAGTAAAGAAAATAACAAAGTACAATACAATCATAGTACCCTACCATTTTTGTTTATCACTTAAATCAAATAAACATATCAATGGTGGAAAAGATTTATAGCTCAGGTGAATGATTTTGATGGAGTTTTATTCTCTGAGCTGGATGGTTTAATTGTGGAGTATTCATCGTTCTTCTGAACGACATCGTCAATAAAAACTCCAGGTAGAAATGGAGTATTTGAATTTCTCCATCAACGATTAAAGTTCAACAACTAATTGTATCTTATTTAAAACTTACTTCGAAATCCAATTTCTTAATAGAATTATTATCATTAGAATTTCGGAGAATAAATTCTTTATGAACATTTTTAATATGTTGAATACATTGTAGTTGATTGATATTGTTCATTGTTTTTTCAATTATATTATTAACATTATTATGATATAATCCATACTTTTTACTCATTATATCAACAAATATACTTAAACATAAAGCAAAGGAATAGATTTGAATACCTAGAATTCAAAAAAATTATTCGGATAGTTTGTTTTCAGAACGGGTTTTGTAGAGATTTTAGTAATTTCAGTAGTTGAAATCATGAGTCAATTGAACCTGGACCACATTGGAAAACCTGGAAGTACTGGATGGCCGTTTCGTTCTAGTGTGGGACTCTTCAGTAGTGTGCATCCGCGACCCCGCTTCCCTCGAGATTCGACACCAGGATATCAGTCTCGAGCGCGAGTGCTTAATCATTAGACCAATGGGCTGGCATCCAACGTTGGTAATGTCTAACTTCAACCCATCCACTTTTGGATGCCGGCTCGTTGGTCTGATGATTAAGCGCTCACGCTCGAGACTGACAGGTCGAATCTCACGGGGGGCGGGATCGTGGGCGCGCACTGTTGAGGAATTCCATACTAGGACGAAACGGCCGTCTGGTGATTCCAAGTTTTCCATGGTGGTTTGGCTTTGGTTGATTCATAATTTCAACTATATTTTGTTTTGTTTATTTTTGATAGTTTGAAGTGCTATTACATACGAATGTGATATTCCTAAATTACTGAATAGTTTATACTTACTTGATATTAGATTAACCTTGCCTATATGTATAACTAATATTGAGGTGTAAAGTAATCAAATTTTATCACTTTACTAGTTTGATTTTCATATAATGTTAAATAATAAATACAGTTGAATAACTTAGATAGTTTATCATTTGAAATTCGATAATGTCATTATACTTCAGTAGTGAAACGTTGTTTAATTAACATGACAAAAGATCATGTTTTGTTTTTATTCATTTATTTATTTATTTCAAGAAGCAAATAAAATACATTTTAAAGTATTATAAGTAGAGGTGAATGCTAACCATCATCCATCTCTGCTTTTAACGCTTGTAACTTAAGGATGCATATATGCCAATAAGTGACATTTATTGTAGTTGTTTGTGGGTAACATTATTAAAAATTGGAACTAATATAAAAAACACTGTATCAAAATCAAGATCATGCATGAGCGAATTAGTAAATATAAATCCGTAAATATTATCCTAAAAGAAATCTTCATCCGTTACTCAATCAAACCACAATATTCTTGACGATTTCCACATCACTTTAGAGACGAGATTAGTTATCCACGTAGACTGAGTCGTGAAACTTTATTGTAGGGCTAAATTGTAAAAAAAATACTTTTAATATACTGGTTTAGTTATTCTTCAGTTTAAAGTAGTTTGTTTCAAGGATAGTTATAGAACATATTCTATTGGTTCTGTGAGTTTCATTTGATTTAAGGTTTTACGCTAATTATCTTGACATTTTGGTTACTCTCAAAAGGGGTTTGTGGAGATTTTAAAAATTTCAATAGTTGAAATCATGAATCAATTGAAGCTAGACCACATTGGAAAACTTGGAAGCATTGGACGACCGTTTTGTCCTAGTGTGGGACTCCTCAGCAGTGCGCATCCAATTAACTCATGATTTCAATTTGTGAAATTTCTAAAATCTCCACAAACCCATTCTGATAATAATCACCTGCTCACTGGTGAATGATTTCACGAGATACTCCTGGAGAAGCCGTTACCCGTGGAGTTCAACTAGGTATATTGTGAGACATCGGCTCACTGAAGAAAATGGTATAAGGTGGCGCAATTTCGTGGATTGGCTGAAGTTAAACATTAACACCGTCGAATGTCGGCTCAGTGGTCTAGTCGGTTAAGCGCCTGGCGCGAAAGTGATAAATCCTGTGTTCGAATCTCGAGGGAGGGGTGGGATCGTGGATGCCCAGTGCTGAGGAGTCACATACTAGGACGAAACGGCCGTCCGGTGCTTACAGGTTTTTCATGGTGGTCTAGCTTCAATTAACTCATGATTTCAATCTGTGAAATTTTGTTTACTCGTCCAGTCCTTTTCTATTTATTAAAATTGTCTGCTAATTTTGTGAAGCTAAAAGGTAACAAGTTTGAGCTTACTTTCTTTCTCCATATTGACTATATTCTCATAAAATTGGTAAGGATATTTCATCAGAAAGATATTTTCCTGTTTAAAAAGTTTTATTTTGTTATATTACTAATTCAAAGGTTAAAACTGTACATAAGATCAATGAACATACACTTTAAACCTTAAATTCGACACAAATTCAGTTTTGAATTAAACTGGGGCTAATAAACTTGTAATGGAACATTTTACAACTAAATTTTAATGAAATGTCTTACATATTATGGTCGAATTAATGTGTCAATTTTCTTGTGGGATGTTTTAACTATGCTATATAATGAATTCACTATGAATTCATTTACTGGCGTCATTATTTTTTTAAAATATGATAAGTAGTTTCAAATCTCCAAGGAGATATCAACTCTCAAGTGGTCACAGACCCACTTTTCTAATAAGTCTATCTAAAACCTATTTCTAAATAGTAATGCAGATTATTCTGATCACTTAATTTCAAACTAAATAAAGCATAATCATCATTTAGAATAGTAATTAAAGTCCAACTTAATAGATAGAATCTATTCAGTGCTAAGAATAAGACTATGCCTTAGTAACCTATTAATTTAACATTATAAACTATATAAAGTATTCAATCATATAAATAATATTACCTTCATCAGCTGAATTATGTGAAACTTTTGTTGGTATATCAGGAAAATGTTTAATTAATTCATAAATATAGTCTTTATTAAGTGCAAAATGTATAGGAAGAAGCCAATAAATATAAAGTGGATCATAAATTTGTTTAGCTGTATAAAATACATTTAAAATTTTCACTGATTGTTCTTTGAATTGTTTAAATTGGTTTTGTTGATTTTTGAATTTTGTTTCAAGTTCTAGACTGATCTAAAAAAACAAAAAAAATTTTTTTTTCTACAGTATTATTTTACTTATTTTATTCATGTAATAAATATACATTATTTTGCATTATCAAAAGTACTTTACATTCAATGGAAAATGAATTGAGGTATTATCATTGTATCTAATGTGACATTAGTAATGAGAAAGATTAGTTCATTGAAGAGTTCTCGTTTTACGGCGAATTCATTTTCAAAGCTGTACAATCGCAAATATATATAGGATATATATAGGATACAGGATAATAATAATACTGATAATAGACTTCTGTTAGACATGGTAACAAAGAGGTTAAATAAAAAAAGCTTTTTTAATACCTTTGTTTATTTTACCTTACTGTCATCATGTCTAACAGAAGTTCATTATCAGTATTATTATTATCCTGTAAAGTAACTATATATATTTGTGATTGTACAGCTTTGAAAATGAATTCATCAAAAAGAGAACTCGTCACTGAACTAATCTTTCTTATTTAATTCCTTAATAGGTGTATTTCGTTTCCATTAGTAATGATCAAATATTTCAGCTTTCCAAAACTCCTTTTTCCATAATATTTCATTTAAACCAATGATGGAGATGATATTATTTAGAGATTAAAGTATGTAGGATATAGATAATCTGATGTAATCCATAATTTCTATTGTCTAATCCATAAGATCTTTTGGTGAACCAGTGATCGCAAATAACGCACTGTCTAGTGGTTAAATGATTATCTTTATTTTTTTATATTACATAACATAGAATTACGTGATGATTAAGAAGATAATGTCATTAAAATTAGTACTTACATTTCTTCCATACAATAAGCATGTTAGTTTTCTATTTTATTAATATGAGTATATAGTTTTAGAATGTAATCTAAAATGTTCATTAGTTGATAAAACAAACATATACAACAACGCCGTTATAAAACTATGAAGTTGAAATAAACATAATAAGAAGTATTTGAAGCGAAATTACGGTAGATCTGTTTACGGGAAACATTTATGGATTGACTAGTTAGCACGCCTCAACATCTAAGAGCTCTATTAATAAGAGGACGGAATTAATGATAACTCAAGCAATACTGATTCGATGAATTTACAATTCCTATGTCAGAGACAAAAAACCAAACCTAAGAAGTACTCTTATCAAAAATAAATATCCATCAAGTTTTGTTGATACGATTTTAAGACTCAAATCTCCAAGAGAATTAATAATCTATATGCCAAAGGAAATGCTTTGCGTACAACTTGATTTCCTAGGTGAAAAATTCGCAAATATCTTGAAGATGGGGATTTTTAACTCTCAGAAAACATACATTTTTTCTCACCAACTTTGAGGTTTCTGTTCTACACTCGATAGATGTTCGACGATAAATTTAAGGATAAACTTAAGTATCTAGTCACTTTACTTTGTACTGAGAAATTCAACTGATCCTGTTGATATCTTGGTGTATTGATCGGCCAGTACTTATTCTTTTCAAGCAGGTAGGAAAATGTTATTCAAAGTGATCACAAAGAGGTATCAATGGATTCATAAGAACGCGGCACAATCGATAAAAACAGGTTCACTATTCAAAATCATCTCTAAGTTAAAATACTTGAGGGGACCAGAACGGTGAACACTAAAGAAGCTAGTTCAGTTTTGTCTTAACCCATAAATTTTCAAGCTATCATCCTCTCTCCACTGCACTACTGAACTTGAAACGTAATTTATTTCCTTTGTCATTTCATTTCTGATTACATTTCATTTCCACTTCACTACTCTGTCTTATTATGTTGCTTAGCCAATCTCTATAACTATTCATCTTTATCTAGATTCCATTGCATTCTGGATGAATATAAGTGTCTTATCACGTAAATCTTTATTTTCTTGATCAACTTATCAATTTCGTTATTTATCTATTTTTCTCTTCTGATGTTATATTCAGTGAATTATAGATATTATCTACAAACGTATTCTCAGTTGTTATTATTATAGGAAAAAGTATGTATTTATGGTCGGACAACATTAAGAATGAATTCGCTGAACCAGATTTTTTTGCTTTATGTCCCAATGGATGTTTGCCCTTAATAAAATTTATTGTCAGATGATCAAAATATTCTTAGTTGTCTAACAGAACTAAAATCCTATTATAGTGGAATAAGATTAGTTAATCTTTATTTACAAGGTAAATCATAGTAATTGTAAGTAATCCTGAAGTGTATAAAAGCGTTCACTTCCGGATAAGCATCCATAACCCCACAGGTTAACAGCAAAACTATACGATTTGTCAGTCTGCAAACCTATAATCTAAAAGTTAGCGTTCCGTGGTCAAACATCAAACCCGAATAAATAGTCAGTGAGATTAATGTATAGGATGGTAAAGCATCTGAAAAAGATCATTAACAAATAAAATTATTGTAATAGACTTCTAAGGGATTCCGGTAATAATTCTCATCAGTCCCATCTACTGGGAATCGCTTTTGATAATATTTAGAATAACAACGAAGATGTTAACATTAAACATTCTAGAATAGATAATGCAAAATTGTCAAAATCAATAAAAATGTTCATGTAAAATTGGACATTTTGTACTGTGATGTAATTTAAAATAATAATTTTACTACTAACTACTCAACTCAAAATTGTTTTACTGTTCATTATAGATTTATGTATGACTTTAAATGACGTTTCTTTTCTTCATTACAACATATTCATTGTAAATTAGCTTATATCTCGGATCATATAATCACATACATGTACTGATGGGTACCTGGAGTAATGACAGATTGGGTATGTATATGAACGAGGATTTCAGAAAAAAATTACATTCTTACATTTGTCTTCAGTATCAACTAATCATTGAAATGAATTTATTGAATATCTTGAAATATGTAGAGTAGTTGCTGGGTGTACACTAATAAAAAGCTGAATATTTGATAAATAATTTGAATTAAAAAAATATTCTGAAAAGTTATTTACTGTCTAAACTTAATTAGAATATCTTATTTTTATGGCAACTATCATGCTGTATGTATGCAATAGTCGAAATACCTAGCGATAGTTAACATGACCAATTTATGATGAGGTCATCAATTTATCAGTGCTCTCTCTAGTTTGAATAATTTCCTATCTGTGTAAAAAGTACTTTTGTAACGCCATCTATATATTATTTCTGATAATAATCATTATATATATAGCAACGTTTAATTAATTACTTACCTCTTTCACACTTTTCTTAATGATATCATCAAATTTTGAACACATTGGTGTAGTCAATCCAAGTTTTGCGGTTCCAGATGCCAACAAAACGCCAAAGGTTTTTCGTGCAGATGATTCAAATTCTCTTGGTTTTAAGTAAAATACGACGAAAATATGAATGCTATTTATGAAATTCTCACAAGAATCTTTATGTAGATCCAAAATAAATTTCAGGTTAACATCATGTTGAAGCAGTGATATTTATGTTAACAGTTCCATAGTTTAAGGCCTAAAGATCTAGATTCTACATTCCATACTTTCTATTCATACGGTTAAGCCTTTTGACTCTCATTACGTACAACATAGTTATTTTCAAAAGCATTTTAGGAGTCTCAGCTAATCGCCATAAGTTGATACATAATTAGTAAACGATATAACTTATCTAAATTTTTTTATGATACATCTAAACCATGTCGAATTTCCTGATCAGGATTTTGATTCCAAGGGCATTTGCAAACAAAAAGGGAGTAAAATAATTATAAGCATGTGAAATGACTATCGTCAATTGTGATATTTCTTATCTAAAAGCAACGCACTGGCTTTAGATAACGAACCTGCAACAAAATTGGGAAACTTACTAACCGATGATGATTTATTTGCAATTAATATAAGGATTCCCACAGTAAAGCCAAAAGAACTTACTGTCAATTATTAGAATGCAATTTATTTAGTTCAATAATTTTCACTAAAATCAACTTTTTAGTTGAATCGATTTTGAATTAAAAAGTTAACCGTCTGACGGATAATCAATTTAATGTTATTGCTGATATAAGAAGAAACCGAATTAAGAAATCTTCATTTTAAAATAGAATTTCATCATATCTGTGGAATACTAAATGGATTTCACAGATGAATATGAAATCAGCATTAATTAAATATTAGTGATTAGATTAACAATTACAACTGATTAAATAAGTTGGACCCATGATGTGACTGAATCCACAGAATTTCGTCGTTTATCACATTTAAACTGACGTTTCAGTAACATTGACTTTCAAGATGCTATCTATTTTTTTGCCTAAATTACTTTTACTAAGTAGAAAATAAATTAGTTTGAGTTTATCCTCAGAACATATACAACTAGCATTACAAACAAACCATTTAAATAGACTATAATTATACTGCATTAAAAAATTTCTAAGAATGAAGTGACTGAATAATAATTAACTCAATTAAAGTAGATCATCAAGACTTTTCGCATTGCATTATTCTGAATTCATTTACAATCATCCTCAGAAAAGACTATGAATGACAATAAATTTTGTGAAATCAATTCTACCTCATTTTATGTCCATTCCAAATAATTGGATTTTCAAATTCTGATCTAGTCCGTTCGGTGATTGTAAATAATGCTAGCGGCCACAAAAATCTTCTTAGACTGTAAGGTATAATTGTTCCTTTTAAAACTGATACAACTTGATAAGTAAAACTTTGTGCTACATTTTCATTTGAATAATTTAAATTGATAAGTTTAACAGAATTTGAATAAGATGATTTACGACACATTTGATCTATTATACTACCAAGACACTCAGTGAAACAACTTGACCCAGTTTCAATTGACGCCATCCATCCTTCTGGTCCTAAATATATTGTGAGTAAATATAAAATAAAATGGATAAGTGTTACGTAATATGCTGACAATTATTGGTTAAAATATTGATAAATATTGGTATAAAAAGAAAGGTATTACAAATATTTGGAGATTTCATTTAGAAAAAAACAATGTTTCTACATTGATATTTTAAAGTTGTCCTCTACAAAATAGCGATGGCTTTTGAAGCGAACGGTACTGGTTCCGATTGCCATAGTGAATATCGACTCTGGAATGTAGGTGCATCCAGATGAGGAGTCCTCAATTAGACGAAACGGGCGTCCTGGATTCCACTGCTAGCCACTATCGATATTTGCTTAAAAAGCTTGTGACTCAAGGCTATGTCTAGGCAATCTGTACAGGAAGCACATATGCCAACAAGAAACTGATCAATTGCAATCCTAAATAACAATGGAAAGATACAAGTAAAACAACATCAAGTGAAGTTAATAACAATAGATGAGCAATGTACTGAAATGGCGTTTACGTGAACGCATGACACTTGTACGATACCGAAGTTGAATATTGCACAAAACATAAGGGAAATTATAAACTTCAAGAAAGTTTTTCAGTATTAAACCCCATAAAATCATTATTTTATTAATGAAAATATAGTTATCAGTATGAGGTTGTGCAGATTGATGATTTTAGTGTCTAGCTGCAATCAATCTACAAAGTTGCGCGACCATTTTTCATTGTCTTCGGTGATTAAATGCTTCACACTCGACGCGGATTAGTTCTACTGGTCACCACTTCTCACTAGAATCCCCTCTCGAATCTTGTCATATGCTCACTAGTGACTAACTTTGAGAGAGGATTCTAGGAGTTTTAGTGAGAAGCTGTGACCAAAAGAGTTCGACCATCTTCAGTTTGTAAGCACCTGAATAACAAAATAGATGAATTGTTGTTATTCTGTTGAGATCCCTATCCTTGCTATATTTTTGGATTCATAAATGAGAAAACTTGCACGAAACTGTGTTTATAAGTTTTTACACGGCAAATGAGCCGAGCAGATATTAGTACTTTTTCAATTAGTTTGCATAAATATCAGTACTGAGCATAAAAGGAATCATCAATGTCTTACTAATTTATCGTCCACCTACAAATTAACAATATCCTCTTGGTGTTTCTTCTATCTATCAGTATCTTTTCATGTCTAAACACTACCATTTTAAATCTGTAGGTTAAAACTTCACAGAATTTTAATGTATGTTACATTTCAGTATCTGAAGAAACTGAAGCTGAATTATTTCTAAACATAGAAATAGTTTAACACTACAAATCAAGTAGTTTTTAATGATTTAAATGTTGAAAATTATAATTGTTTATCATCTGACAGTGAAATTAGTTCATTTTTTCCCTGAAAATTAAAAATACTATGGTATTCTTCTAAGTTAAGTATCTTGTTTAAACCATATTCCATATACTTATTTTACCTGTTAAGAAATTATGTCAAGCGTAATATATATGTTGAAACCAAAAAAAGTTATATTTAAGATAAGCATAATGATACATCATGATTTACACGAGTAAGAGCTATCCTCATTTGGGATTTGAGATTCGAATTGTAGTCTGGAGGAACTACTTACTATTCCAAGATGGTTTACATTAATCAACAAACTCTCACTTTATTCAAACTAATGTTATTGGTAGGCTGCAAATATTTCGTTATGCAATCTAAACAATTCATATTTTCTAAAATAAGATATCAACTATCAAACCATTAACTCTAAAATAAGCAGTGTAGTCTTACAACTGGACTCTCTATATTCCTTTCAGAAATCAATATTTCGATATGTACCATCCATTATTGTTAATAATTCAAATGTCCTCTTTCCCTGTTAATCATTAAAAGAAAACTTGTCGAGTAACTGTTATATGCAGAATTATATTTACGAATAGTTATGTTTATATTTATGTTTATAGATACTTACTAAGTAACAAAAATGTAACATCTCATTTTAGTCTAATTAAACACATATCAATTGATTTATTCTTCAACATTAAGTACTTGTCTGCATTTATTTCTTCTTCTTGGATGTTGTAACTTTTTTTCTTGTCTCTCTCATGTTGATGACTATCTCACACTTTTTCACATGCAAATTATCCTTATTAATAAATCTAATACTAGATGAATGAAATTTATACCATATATGAAAATGATGCTTTTATCAAATTTTTAGATGTTTATCACAAATACACCAATAGGTGTACATACATGTTTGCAGACATACATAAAATCACAAAAAAAACGATGATAGAAGTACAAAATGTACGAGAAAACTATTTGTCCAATTCGGTTTGTATGTTTATACTTATATTAAAAAAAAACAGACCTGATATTATATCAAACTTATCCTTATTTATCTGTACCCACGCATTGTATAGATAGATATAGAAGATAAAGTTTATTGGTAGAGCATGTTCATATCATCCAATATATATAATGAGTGATGTAATTCTAAACAAATAGTATGAACTAACAGATATGGACTTAGTCTTTCATTTGATAATCTCTAATAACAATAATATGGATTTTAAAAAAAGTCTAATAATATTCATATAACTATTTTTTTATAAATTGAAGTACTAATTAATACATTTTCATTGACAATAATTTTTGGATTAAAATAAAACAAAAATAATATTAATTGAAATCATGATTATAATAACGATAGTATTATTTTTATTATTTCATATCAGTATTCATTCATTACCTATGATGAACAAAACCTTAAATCAACATAATGAAACATTATCCAATCTAAATGATAAACAATTAAACAATAATAATAATGAAATTATTCCTACACATATCATTAATGATAATTATAACCAATTACTATTAATATTATTATTATTTAAAGATATTGCTTCAATACAAACATTTAATACAACAAATAATCTTATGAATAATAATAATAATAATAATAAAGAAGGTAATTATTTATTAAAAAATAATAATTTCAATCAAAAAATCAATAATTCAATTATATTAAAACAAAATCAATTTATTGACAATTCATGTAATCATAAGGAATGTTCTACAATATTTAGAATAAAAGAATTAAATGATAAACTAATTTATTTTAAAGGTAAATTTATTATTAATAAAAATATCAATAATGAAATCTTATTACGTAATATAATATCTAATGAAACAATTAAAAATCAATTATACAATAAAAATTTTACGCAATTGATTATTGATTTAAATAATAATAATAATATGAAAGATTTATCTTTATTAAAAATGTTTAATAACCAATCCTTTATACATTTATTACTTAATATAAACAAGGATACTATATTGAATAATTTAACCATAAAGAATATAATAAACAATTTGGATGATAAAGAAAATCGATCAATTGATCATTTAGATGATTATTATATTCAGAAAATGATTAATTTAACAGAAATGAATACTGATCATTTGATAACAAAAGTGTCAAATGTCAAAATCAATAAAGAAAAGGAATATGATAATGAAATCGATCAATTAATTGGTGAAGAACAAAGTTTCAATGAAGTACTTGGTAACAATAAGTTAGGGAATAATTTAATAAAGAAAGGAATAAACAGAGAAAATAAAAATAAACTCTTAACAAATAATAATAAAATATCAATAGGAAAAAAATATAGAAGAAAACGTTCATCAAATGATATTGATTTAGAAGTATTCAATGTAGATTCATCAAGTGCAGAAAATATAAACAGAAACAATAAACAAAACAATAATGAATATCAGAAACAAATAAAAATAAACAATCAAAACAAAATAAGTCGAAGGACTAAAAAAGACATTGATACATATGAAGAAACCCCAATATCCGAGGAAGTGACGACTGTCCCTCCAGCTCCGACTGCAGATGTGTCAGTGATTCAGGACTCGAGTCCAGATACCCCAGTATCCGAGGAAGTGACGACTGTCTCTCCAGCTCCGACTGCAGATGTGTCAGTGATTCAGGACTCGAGTCCAGATACACCAGTATCCGAGGAAGTGACGACTGTCTCTCCAGCTCCGACTGCAGATGTGTCAGTGATTCAGGACTCGAGTCCAGATACACCAGTATCCGAGGAAGTGACGACTGTCTCTCCAGCTCCGACTGCAGATGTGTCAGTGATTCAGGACTCGAGTCCAGATACCCCAGTATCCGAGGAAGTGACGACTGTCTCTCCATCTCCGACTGCAGATGTGTCAGTGATTCAGGACTCGAGTCCAGATACACCAGTATCCGAGGAAGTGACGACTGTCTCTCCAGCTCCGACTGCAGTTGTGTCAGTGATTCAGGACTCGAGTCCAGATACACCAGTATCCGAGGAAGTGACGACTGTCTCTCCAGCTCCGACTGCAGATGTGTCAGTGATTCAGGACTCGAGTCCAGATACACCAGTATCCGAGGAAGTGACGACTGTCTCTCCAGCTCCGACTGCAGATGTGTCAGTGATTCAGGACTCGAGTCCAGATACACCAGTATCCGAGGAAGTTTCGACTGTCTCTCCAGCTCCTAATGCAGATGTGTCAGTGATTCAGGACTCGAGTCCAGATACACCAGTATCCGAGGAAGTGACGACTGTCTCTCCATCTCCGACTTCAGATGTGTCAGTGACTCAGGACTCGAGTCCAGATACCCCAGTATCCGAGGAAGTGACGACTGTCTCTCCAGCTCCGACTGCAGATGTGTCAGTGATTCAGGACTCGAGTCCAGATACACCAGTATCCGAGGAAGTGACGACTGTCTCTCCAGCTCCGACTGCAGATGTGTCAGTGTTTCAGGACTCGAGTCCAGATACACCAGTATCCGAGGAAGTGACGACTGTCTCTCCAGCTCCGACTGCAGATGTGTCAGTGATTCAGGACTCGAGTCCAGATACACCAGTATCCGAGGAAGTGACGACTGTCTCTCCAGCTCCGACTGCAGATGTGTCAGTGATTCAGGACTCGAGTCCAGATACACCAGTATCCGAGGAAGTGACGACTGTCTCTCCATCTCCGACTGCAGATGTGTCAGTGATTCAGGACTCGAGTCCAGATACCCCAGTATCCGAGGAAGTGACGACTGTCTCTCCAGCTCCGACTGCAGATGTGTCAGTGATTCAGGACTCGAGTCCAGATACCCCAGTATCCGAGGAAGTGACGACTGTCTCTCCAGCTCCGACTGCAGATGTGTCAGTGATTCAGGACTCGAGTCCAGATACCCCAGTATCCGAGGAAGTGACGACTGTCTCTCCAGCTCCGACTGCAGATGTGTCAGTGATTCAGGACTCGAGTCCAGATACACCAGTATCCGAGGAAGTGACGACTGTCTCTCCATCTCCGACTGCAGATGTGTCAGTGATTCAGGACTCGAGTCCAGATACCCCAGTATCCGAGGAAGTGACGACTGTCTCTCCAGCTCCGACTGCAGATGTGTCAGTGATTCAGGACTCGAGTCCAGATACCCCAGTATCCGAGGAAGTGACGACTGTCTCTCCAGCTCCGACTGCAGATGTGTCAGTGTTTCAGGACTCGAGTCCAGATACACCAGTATCCGAGGAAGTGACGACTGTCTCTCCAGCTCCGACTGCAGATGTGTCAGTGATTCAGGACTCGAGTCCAGATACACCAGTATCCGAGGAAGTGACGACTGTCTCTCCGGCTCCGACTGCAGATGTGTCAGTGATTCAGGACTCGAGTCCAGATACACCAGTATCCGAGGAAGTGACGACTGTCTCTCCAGCTCCGACTGCAGATGTGTCAGTGATTCAGGACTCGAGTCCAGATACACCAGTATCCGAGGAAGTGACGACTGTCTCTCCAGCTCCTAATGCAGATGTGTCAGTGATTCAGGACTCGAGTCCAGATACACCAGTATCCGAGGAAGTGACGACTGTCTCTCCATCTCCGACTGCAGATGTGTCAGTGATTCAGGACTCGAGTCCAGATACCCCAGTATCCGAGGACGTGACGACTGTCTCTCCAGCTCCGACTGCAGATGTGTCAGTGATTCAGGACTCGAGTCCAGATACCCCTGTATCCGAGGAAGTGACGACTGTCTCTCCAGCTCCGACTGCAGATGTGTCAGTGATTCAGGACTCGAGTCCAGATACACCAGTATCCGAGGAAGTGACGACTGTCTCTCCAGCTCCGACTGCAGATGTGTCAGTGATTCAGGACTCGAGTCCAGATACCCCAGTATCCGAGGAAGTGACGACTGTCTCTCCAGCTCCGACTGCAGATGTGTCAGTGATTCAGGACTCGAGTCCAGATACCCCTGTATCCGAGGAAGTGACGACTGTCTCTCCAGCTCCGACTGCAGATGTGTCAGTGATTCAGGACTCGAGTCCAGATACCCCAGTATCCGAGGAAGTGACGACTGTCTCTCCATCTCCGACTGCAGATGTGTCAGTGATTCAGGACTCGAGTCCAGATACCCCAGTATCCGAGGAAGTGACGACTGTCTCTCCAGCTCCGACTGCAGATGTGTCAGTGATTCAGGACTCGAGTCCAGATACACCAGTATCCGAGGAAGTGACGACTGTCTCTCCATCTCCGACTGCAGATGTGTCAGTGATTCAGGACTCGAGTCCAGATACCCCAGTATCCGAGGACGTGACGACTGTCTCTCCAGCTCCGACTGCAGATGTGTCAGTGATTCAGGACTCGAGTTTAGATACCCCTGTATCCGAGGAAGTGACGACTGTCTCTCCAGCTCCGACTGCAGATGTGTCAGTGATTCAGGACTCGAGTCCAGATACACCAGTATCCGAGGAAGTGACGACTGTCTCTCCAGCTCCGACTGCAGATGTGTCAGTGATTCAGGACTCGAGTCCAGATACCCCAGTATCCGAGGAAGTGACGACTGTCTCTCCAGCTCCGACTGCAGATGTGTCAGTGATTCAGGACTCGAGTCCAGATACACCAGTATCCGAGGAAGTGACGACTGTCTCTCCATCTCCGACTTCAGATGTGTCAGTGATTCAGGACTCGAGTCCAGATACCCCTGTATCCGAGGAAGTGACGACTGTCTCTCCAGCTCCGACTGCAGATGTGTCAGTGATTCAGGACTCGAGTCCAGATACGCCAGTATCCGAGGAAGTGACGACTGTCTCTCCAGCTCTGACTGCAGATGTGTCAGTGATTCAGGACTCGAGTCCAGATACCCCAGTATCCGAGGAAGTGACGACTGTCTCTCCAGCTCCGACTGCAGATGTGTCAGTGATTCAGGACTCGAGTCCAGATACCCCAGTATCCGAGGAAGTGACGACTGTCTCTCCAGCTCCGACTGCAGTTGTGTCAGTGATTCAGGACTCGAGTCCAGATACCCCAGTATCCGAGGAAGTGACGACTGTCTCTCCAGCTCCGACTGCAGTTGTGTCAGTGATTCAGGACTCGAGTCCAGATACCCCAGTATCCGAGGAAGTGACGACTGTCTCTCCAGCTCCGACTGCAGATGTGTCAGTGATTCAGGACTCGAGTCCAGATACACCAGTATCCGAGGAAGTGACGACTGTCTCTCCAGCTCCGACTGCAGATGTGTCAGTGATTCAGGACTCGAGTCCAGATACACCAGTATCCGAGGAAGTGACGACTGTCTCTCCAGCTCCGACTGCAGATGTGTCAGTGTTTCAGGACTCGAGTCCAGATACACCAGTATCCGAGGAAGTGACGACTGTCTCTCCATCTCCGACTGCAGATGTGTCAGTGATTCAGGACTCGAGTCCAGATACACCAGTATCCGAGGAAGTGACGACTGTCTCTCCAGCTCCGACTGCAGATGTGTCAGTGATTCAGGACTCGAGTCCAGATACACCAGTATCCGAGGAAGTGACGACTGTCTCTCCAGCTCCGACTGCAGATGTGTCAGTGATTCAGGACTCGAGTCCAGATACACCAGTATCCGAGGAAGTGACGACTGTCTCTCCAGCTCCGACTGCAGATGTGTCAGTGATTCAGGACTCGAGTCCAGATACCCCAGTATCCGAGGAAGTGACGACTGTCTCTTCATCTGCTATTCCGACTGTGTTAGTTGTTGACAGTTCACTTATATCAACTATACCTTCCACCGTTTCTCTTGGTCAACATTTTGATTTTGATCGTAGTCCAGTTGGAGGTGTTATTAAGTCTATGAACAACGAAATGTTAGACAATAATGAGAAAGTTTCTCCGCATGAGCTTCCAACTGACATTCCAAGGAACAGAAATATTAACATACATATTAGTGGACCTTATATTCATGAGAATAATCGGCTTGAATTTAAATATGGTTTAACAATCGGTTTGATTTTATTATGTATTCTGGTCATTATGTTAATTCTGTCTACAATTCTGGTACTTGTTTGGATTCGTCATCGACGTAACAAATATTCTGGTAGTATAACCCTGACACATATTGAAGAAAACGATAACAATGTACAAAATACCTCATTAAGGAAAAATAGATTTCAATCTAGAAACAGTACACATGATTCATTTACAGCTATAGAAGGAATAGTTAATGAAAGCAAAAGTAATAAATCTACTAATTCAATGAAAACACCAGCAATACAAAAACGTCTTGAACTACGAAGAAAACAACATGTAAAAGCTAAAATATTAGCTCATGAAGCTTTACTTTCCACTGATGATTGTTCTTCATGTGATTGTGGTTTTACTTTTAAATCTCCCAACCCTGAACGTCTCTGTTTAACATCGAATTTAGATAATGATGTTATATTAACTGGTGCACGGCGTAGACAAAGCAATGATAGCGGTGATAGGAAAAACCAAACAAATCAAAATATATTAAATTCTGTTGAACATACTCATGATAAAGAAGATGAATTTTCAGATATTCCTTCTATAAATAATAATAATTTTATTAAAAATAATGAAACTACATCTCATTATCAAGAGATAAGTATGAACAAACCCAGTATAAGTTCAAAAGCATGGAAATATATTGATGAAAATTAGGATTAAATGATTTAATATCTCTATATATTTCTTTATGTTTACAAAAATAATAAAACTGTAAGCCCAAAATTACACATTAATTTTATATTACATTACATTAAGTTGAAATTTCATTTTATTTCATCGATAGTATTTTCAATCATCTCTAATAAAATTTCAAACTTTGACAAGTACTACTTATAGTAATAATAATAATAGTAGTAGTAGTAGTAATATGATAAATATTAAATACGTACATAGATTTAATCAAGTGTTTTATTATAAATTATTATTCATATCATTAGATAGTACATACATTTCAGATTTAAATTCAATAATAATCATCATTTAAAATGTTAATTGAAACACTTAAACTACATTCCTTTATCTCTTTATTTATTCCATAAACAAAATAACTATTCATTAATTAGTACAACATAATCTTTTACTCTAAGCTTTTGTTTATTATGAAATTTTTCTTTCTTTGTAAGAAAATACTTTTAAGGAATTATTATCATCGTTTTGCTGTAAAAACCAAAAAAAAAGAGTTCCTTTTGTTTTGTTTTGTGATCAAGAACCGATTTTTTAAAAAAAACGTTTTTTCTCTGTAAACCCATATGAAGTAATTGTTGTTCAGTTATAAAATGCAATTTAAAAAAAGAAAAAGAAAAAAAAGAAAAAAAGAAAAAAGAGAAAATTTTTTTAATGTTTAATTAATTATTAATTAGTTTTATGCTTATTTTGTTTGTTTGTTTTCTGATATTATTTAAACAACAAAAATAAATGTATTATTGAATAAAATTGAATTTTAAATATTTAATAAATTTGATTAAAACTTCCTGATCATTTTTGTAAGTAATGATGGATAGTGACTAGTAGTGGAATCCAGAACGCGCGTTTCGTCTTAAACCCCAATGGGAAGATACAAGCTAAATAATATCAAGTGAATTTAAATTCACCCCATTGCACAAGCAAGTGGCTATCAGGACTCAGTAGCTGAGTGAATGACGCGATGGCGTTTGAAGTGAATGGTACTGGGTTCGAGTCCCATAGTGAACATCAACTCTGAGATGTAGGCACATCCAGCTGACGAGTCCCAAATGGGATGAAACGCGCGTTTTGGATTCCACTGCTAGCCACTATCCATCATTGTTTACAAAAAGCTTGTGAATTGCCTTAATTCACAAGCTTAATATAGAGGCATACGCACAGTATGCATATATGCCAATAACAGACTGATCAATTGCAGTTTTAAACCTCAATGGAAAGATATAAGTTAAACAATACCAAGTGAATTCCTGATAATTTATGTATTTACTGATGAGACTGTAATATATAAACGAACTAATTAGATTTAAGATAACAGATCTTGAATTTTGGCGCGAAATTCATTTGTTCATTTAACGAAATGAAGTTTTTGTGTTATATCTGATCTCAGTTGGTGATAAATACTCTATATCCAATTCCTGACCCTAGTTATCAACTATAAATATTAATTCTAATTCCTCAAACTGGTTTATAACCCTTATTTAACTGTAGTATTTAGATTGACATTTTCAAGGGATTGTTAGTGTCACTCATAGGTCGTCCATAAATTATAGTCTCATCCAATTACTTTTAATAAATATAATAAATTATTAAACTTAATTGAACTATTTTACAATGACAGATAATCCGCCTAGAAACTAATTTTAATGGACTCCTATTTATAATAATATTGATCTTATTTTTAAGGTATAAAAACTATTAATGTTGTAAGAACTTTATATACGTTCTAATATTTGAACGACGAGTATTCTTTTCGATAGATTCTCTTCAGGTTCTATAATTATATATATATTCAAATTAATCATCCGAAAAATAGTCAAGTTAAAGGCAAAGTACATCGTTTAATGCATATGAATTTAGGGTGACGATGTCACAGGATCAATCAATATGAGACTAAAAACTGCACTGACAAGAACTTATCCTGCAGCGAAATTGATTGTCCTGTCCAAAACAACATGTTCTTTGACACAATCAAAGGTCGACAGGTATCCCTTTCATGTTACCACCAACTGTGTATACAAATTTACATGTACCTGCCAAAGCAGTTACATTGGTAGAACAGAAAGGAGAGCCTACGTCCGATTCAAAGAACATATTCCGAAAAGTTTAAGGTTAAATGGATTAAACGCATTCAACAGTGCTATCGCAAGACATCTCCTTGATACAGGACATGAAGTTGATATACTGAAGTCCTTCAAGGTGATTAACAAACAATCAAACTCCAACCTTTTGAAATTCACTGAACCGTTAGCAATCAAACGTTTAAAACCAGATCTATGTATACAAAAAGAGACAGTAATAAATCTTTATTTACCCTGGTAACAATAACCCCCACCCTTTCTATTCATTTGCTCCTATTTATTTATTTATTGCGTCATTATTGCAACTCTTTCTGAAGTTTAAATTACATCATACATAAATGATTGATTTCAATTCATATTTACTTTATTACCATTGCTATATTTTCATGAGTTCTAATCACTATTTCAATGTTCCAGAACTTTCCCTCTCTAACTTTATTTATTTATTCGAATCAAACATTTTATAAGCTCATTAACTCTATCTGAATCTTCGCTACATCATCATACACATGTATTGATTTTAATCACACTCGTATGTATAAATATGTCAATATCTGTAATAATTTGAATTTCAAATAATTCAGGTTGTAAGCAGCTGATGAGAACCTAACGAAATAAAATGAATTCAAATTATTCTGTACCAATCTTTGTTCTTGCTGTAGTTAAAATAATAAAGGGAACTATGTGTATGGAATTTAAGGTTGTTAAACAAATGTTGAAAATAATTCTGAGATATTGAAGTAGATTTGCTATTCTATAACTAGATCCCAGAGAAGTTACGTTTTTTCCAGTTACGTAAATATAGTACCTTGTAATGTCGAAATAATTATCGGTCCTAATAACATGCTTGTTGCATACGGACTGATTTTCTAAGCACAGTAGCTCATAGAATATCACTTGTTTTAAAAGTCATCTTTATTGGACTTAGAAAACAGGATAGAAATTATTACGTGAAAAAGCATTGATTTACTTTGATCTAAATAAATGACGCGCTGCGAACAGTTTCATACTTCTCAATGTTACTTACTGATCACTGCCGAAGCTTATCGTTAATCAAAATTCTTCAATACATCTATTGGCAGGCTTGGTGCTGTCATGTTTTTGGGATAACAAAACCCAAGTGAATAGTTGGCGCAAGATCTTACTTTGAACTAAGATATCTAGTTTCAGAATCTCTGTTTCAAAAAACATTTGCACTTATTTTGACTAGCAGAGGAACTTGTGATTCAGGCTACTGACTTGTTAAGCCACGTGACCAAAAAATGTGGTATCAAATATGACTTTATTAGGCTTAAAACCAGTAGTGAGCTTATCGAAATCCATTGATCAAACAAATGTCATGTGGTTTATATTTTATCATAAGCTTGTAAGTAAATCGGTGAACTATGGGACTGTAATTGAACTTTCTGTCAGTAGATGAACACACACTATCCATCTTAGTCTTAAGATGTTTCCTTCATAATGCTCAATAACTTCATGATTCTGATGGTGAACATGAGTAAAGTGATATTTACCAGAGCATAAAACAGGTGCAGTATTGAAAAATGAAAATTACAGGCCACTATTTAAGATGTGTACATTAAAAAGTTAGAATTGGATGAAATAACATGGATTAAGTAGGAAATAATGAGTAAGGTTAATAGTACATTAAAATATGTAAGAAAATATTAATTACATTAGATGATTGTAGGTTGTGACAATTTGGAGCAAAAGAAGATATGTACATGAAGAGTACTGGATAATTTTAAAGAGAAAAATAAATGTTAGTTTATTAAGTCTTCAGTCAGCCAAAAGTTGAAGTGTTGAATGTGTTCTACTAAATGTGCAGTTCATGTATCCAATGTTATTCATTTTAACGTTTACAAAGGCTAACCAACTTATTGTACGGACAAAAATAATTTCATACCGTATTATTAGCAAAACGTTTGTTTTTCATAAAGGCATCTACGTTATTTATCCATTTTATCAAACTTCAAACTGGCTCTTCCATAGCACACGCAAAACAAATGCAGGAGAAAACGACCAGTGTAGCAGCAGCTTCAGCAACAGTAGGTCTCAACATACACAAAAGGAAAAGCAAGATTCTCCGATAAAACACAATACGCACCAATAAAATCACATTTGACGGAAAAGCTTTGGAAGATGTAAGATCCTTTACATATCCGGGCGGCATCATTGATGAACATATTGGATCTGATGGAGATGTGAAGGCTCGAATCAACAAAGTAAGAGTAGCATATCTATAGTTGAAGGACATCTGGAACCCAAAAATATTGCCAACGAACACTAACTTCAGAATTTTCAATACAAGTGTCAAGACAGGTCCACTGTATGTGGCGGAAACTTGGAGAACTACGAAAGCCATCATCCAGAACACATAAGTGTTTATTAACAGCTGTCTACTGAAAATAATTCAGATCCGTTGGCCAGACATTATCAACAACAATCTATTATGGGAGAGAACAAACCAGATTGCAGTGGAGGAAGAATTCATGAAGAAGCGCTGGAAGTGGATAGGACTCACATTGAGGAGGAGAGGAAGACGAAAGAACACATTACGTCGAAAAACGGACACAGACATGAGAAAAATGAACAACGATTGGATAGAACTAGAAAGGAAGGCCAATGAAAGTGTGAGTTGGAGAATAATGGTCGGTGGCCTATAATCTATTAGGGGTAACAGACTTACTTAAGTAAGTAATAACTTCAGAAATTGGAACAAATTTTCTTCTCTCACTTATCTTCACTTTCTTATCAAAGTAACTTTCAAACAGTTTCAATAAATATTTGATGTTTGGAGATATAAAAATATTCTCATTTGCCAGAAATCACTTGATAAATCATAATTTAAGTAATAGTATTCTATGGTTATCTTTAAGTAAAATAATAATGACCGCAATTCTTTCCATTATTACTTCTTAATCCCGTTCAACTAAGTGTAGTAAATTAAGATCTAGAAAGTAAATATGCAAAGTAATTATGTCTAGTAATTATTGATCACTTTATTACTTTATTGGGTAAGACACATTCGGTGTAAATAAGAACTATTCAATCATTTGCAAATATCTCAAAGACAGAATTCCGGAAAATATGATCGAAGGCCGTGGATTATACCCGTCGACATTGACTATGTAACCCATCTACTCTTATGGATGAGAATAACTCTGCATTACACAGTGGATGATATTTAAGATGTGATTCATTTATTTGACGCATACCATGATACTCGGGGATTTAGGGTCAAACTGATCTTGGGTCCTGTGAGCATACTTCTGAGGAGTCAGACACTAGTACAGAACACCCGTCCGGCACATGATTATTATATATATAACAGTCAGTGGTAGGACCTTTCCACAAATTGTGAGAAGCTTCGTTTTGCTGCATCAAACAGACGTCCAAATTACAGTACCCTTTTTATTTTATTTAGTTTTGATGACATTTGAAACATGAGTGAGTCACACCAGCTTTGTAGTAAATAAAAATGTTAAAGGTTGATTGCTGCAATTAAAAATTTACCATACCAA